CCCCCCCCCCCCCTGTCCTAGGGGCCCGGGCCAAAAAATTGGTACCAGGGCCCGAGATGGGATGTGGCGGGCCTGATCCCCCCCCATGTGGCGGGCCTGCATGTGAGAGTGGTAGTATAAAAATAAAGTATTATGAATGAGACTGTTAAGAAGTGATGAAGCAGCAATGGGTGCAGAAAATCTACTGCAAATCACTCAATCTAACTTTTCAAAATATGAGGAAAGACTTAATAGAAAAGTACGGTTCACTTTCTCCTTCCTTCAGAATCAACCAAACAGGAGCAAAAATGTTGACTTAAAATAACTATCTTTCATCTAAATACTTTCTCCTATCAATTACATCAATACAACCACATCTCTACCTTTCTAATTACCAGCAGCAAGCTTACTTACCTTAAAATTTTACAGTACTAAAACTAAGCAGTATAAAATAATTTAATTTGTGCTAGAAGGAAGCATTGCAGCCACATTAAAATACACTAAAAGACAAACTAAAAGAAGAAAAAATTAGTTTGAAACAATCAAAGGTGAGAAGTAGCTAATCACAGCAAGGTATGAAAACGTAACAGGCAAGGAGGAAACAAACGCTTACGACAAAAAGGAAGGAGACAAAAAAGGAGATACAGATGGAAAAAAAACTTCAAAACTACAGAATAGAATTGACACAAAATGAACGAGCAAAATATAAGATTGAAAGAAATAGGAGAATTCGATGGAAAGAAATTGAGACAGAATCATAACACTATTTGGACTGCATTTTGCAATATGGAACTATAAATCTTGGCTCATCTGAAAAAACACTTATGTGCATGTGGAAACTAACGGCACGTACGTTGTTTTTAAACCGGGCTAGAATTTATAGTTCCAAATTGCAAAATGCAGTCCGTTTGTAAAAGACGAATAGACGAAATCATGCAAGACTTATTAAAAAAATGAGAGAGCTGGAAGACTTTCAATAGAGAATAGTATGTGGTAACAGAGAAAATGATAGAAAAAATGAACACACAGGGGATTAATGAAACATAGAGGATGAGAAAAGAAACAAATTACAGGGTAAATTATTTTTCATCACAATGTATTGAGGACCTTCAAGTTTAGCAGAGGTCAAATTGGGAGAGAAAAATATTTGATTCCTAACATTAAAATTATAAGTGCCATGAATATTTGCATTCAGTTCTACAGAAATATCTATGTGATTGATTTACCCCCCAAAAAATATCTGATGTTCTGAATTTAGTTTTGTGACATCAAAATATGCTCAATTCAGAACTTGGGAAGACCTAATTAGTCTGATAGGTGATTTGTCCTGGGTTCTTGGCGTAGTAGAACTGACGTACAATATTTTGTTTCGATCAAGCACAAAAACTCAGGCAGATTTTGACTTTTAGTCACAAAAGGTTGATAGTCTACGCACATGAGCTTAGAGAATCATTCGCAACCAAAAAAATTGTGAGAAGGATTCTTCTTGGAAAAAAACACTGCATTTGATACAGAGGTAGATGACTGTATCAAATACAACTTTTTTTCCAAAAGTAACCTTGCTTTCATTTCCCGAGTTTTGCAATTTTTTTGGTTGAGGGTGATTCTTTAGGCTCATAGGTAGAGGCTTTTGGCCTTCTTTGATGAAAAGTCAAAATCTGCGGAGATTATGTACTTGATCAGTGCAATACATCGCATGTCAGTTTGACCATGCCAAGAGCCTGGGACAAATACACTTAAAGTGTACATTATAAAACCTTCAATCAATAAATAAATCGGTAAACCAACAAAAAGAAGCATATTTGCTGGTTTAGAGGGCAATCAGCATAGCAATTGTGATTCCAAGGCAATTCTTGCGGCTTTATACCCTGGGAAGTTGTTGAAAATATATTCCTTTGAGTGATTTCAGAAGCTGAGCTTCTCAGATTTGAGCAATAACATATTTTACCACACAAATTCTTATCCAGGCCTCAGCAAAAAGCCATCAAAAGACTACAACTGCAGAGAATCAATAAATGGGTTTTCCATTGAAGAAATATATGATGCTATAGGCAAAAAATAAGAGGTTTGATTTCCTTAAAATTAACTTCCAAAGCTTCTGGATGTAATTAATTATCAAAGAGCAGGAGTGAAAATTAAAGGCTAGAAATATAGGCAAAGTAAGAGGATAATTTGAAATTGAAGCTGGAAAGAAAGAGTGTAGTTCTCGCTCAGAAATAGGATTTGCAATGAATGCTGAATTGCTGCACACTGTTTTGTAAAACTATGGGCTTACAATCAATAGATAGTGCATTGGCTTCGGATAGTACAAAAAGAAAAAGTCTGAAAAAACGCCAAAATTAATCATTGATTGATATTTCTGTTGAATCATCATTGCAGCCTTGTACTGGAAGCTATTTAATGGTTTACAAGTTGATAAAGAATTGAAATGTTTATATTTCTTGCTCCATAATACAACAAATGAAAATTAAAGAGTTTGATCCGATACACTTTGTATGATTTCTTTTGTCCCGTTAAGATTTGATGACTGTAGAGTCCACGCTAAATAGGTTTATGCACTTGTAGACTAGAACAGACGATCTGCCATCTCGATTCTTGCATTTTCTTTCAATGCTAAACTGGCTTCACACAATCTTCTGTCTCACTCTAAAAGTGCGTAAACTTATTTGGTATGAACTCTAAAATGCTGCGCCAGAACACTCTTACATTCCAAATCCTATGAATAGATAAGAACTTTACAGTTGAAAGAATATGAGACAAGACAACTCCAACTCAGCGATCCTTTTTTGAAAATTCCAAGTGTTAAATTAAAGTGATATGGTAAAAGTATTTACTCTTCATCGTACAAAAATATTTAAATTACAAGTCTCAATTTGCTATGTCATAGAGGTGTTGATAGGATTCTAATTATAAATGTATTCGAAGAGTGATATATCTTCTACATCTGAGGTTTTGCATGCAAAATGGCTAACATAGAGAGTTTTCTTTACTATTAAAACCTGCCAAAGTGATTAACACCTTGCTTGTTGTAAAAGTCTCTCTGTCTTAATTAAAAAGACAGTAGACAGTCAAGAAGAAAAATAATTTAGGTTCTTCCGATATAATTTACTGATTAAAATAGACAAAAAAGGAGGACTAAGTTGTTATGAGTTGTTTTAGGAGGAAAATTAAATTGTTAAAAGAGGGTGAGTAGTAAAAAAGGTAAAGGGATACAAGACAGTCAATCGAAGGATAGAGAAGAACACTTTCTCCTCTGATAGAAAACAGTGCTGTGAATGAAGAGAGGACACACGATAGATGGAAACTGAAAAATAAAAAGGTTGTGATTAATCGTTTCTTTAGGGAGTTGGCAGCAAAACAAAATGAAATTAATTCCAAACGTCAGTTTGAGGTGCGTCAAAGTTTGTAAGTGCTGTACCTTTTGAAAAACCCAAAGTTAACTTCAAAGAATTTCTTCGTTAAATTGTAATTTTTAGAATATTGGCCAGCAGGGTAGCATTATTTGTACAAAATTAGAGAAAATGGAAAAAGGTACATTTATTCACGTTTTAGTGCTACAGTTTACACACTTTTTCTCTTCTGCCAACTTGGATTGACCAACAGAATAAATACTTATGGTGAGAAGGAAGAGGACCGTAGGGAGACAGGGAAAAAAAACATTTATCAGAATTTTCATGGAGTGAATATCTGTGTAATGAGGGAAACAAAATGCTAAAAATTCAGTGGAAAATAATGACTGTACACGATTGATAAAAATTCACGGTGTCAAAAAACAAATGCCGAGTTCGATCATGATGAACAAAGAAATTAATAAAGGGAAAAGAGTTAATATAGGTGCGTTTGTCGAACCGTGAGTCTGCATTAATTTTGGTGACTCTTTTTACAAACTGAATGTATACACAATTTAATGGTTAAAGAACTGGATTTCACTTGAAGTTAATACAGAATTTGAGGATACATAAACCATTCTTTGCCAGAACTTGACAGGGATAGTGCATTTTTGAATAGTGCATAATTAAATAGGGAATTATTTGAATATCAATATCAATCTTGGGCAGGGACATTCAAGAAATAAGATCCATTCTCACCGGTTTTATATTGTGCCTAAATACCAATCCTTTCAAATTAAATTTGCCTCGTCCCTGATGATTTGAAGAAAACAAAAAAAAAAACAGAATGTCAAAAATCAATTATTAAAAATTTTCAGAAGATTGATAAAGGAGGTGTACAAAAAGTAGATCACAAATGGAGTCCTGGAAGTAAAGGAAACTCAAACCGAGATAAGAAGGTTAAAATGAATCATGACGTCAAGATTGCTTTGAATAATTCATCGCAAAATAAATTTCTGGAGAGGAAGTTGGGTTTTGGTGAGGGGATCTCTGTCTTTGATTCTGGAAAATTCGAAAGAAAACATGGTTCTTTGATCTTTGTATTGTCAACCCTGTTAAAAGAGCGGGAGGTTGACAATTAACTTCCATCCACAATTTATCCAGCGACCCAGATCAACCGATTTGAAAAAGTAAAAATAAAGAAGAAAAAAAGGAAGAAATATATGCATGGCTTATATTGAAAGTGAACCCTTACTGCTTCCCAAACTCAGGCCCTTAGGGTACGTCAAATATTAGCATAAAAGTTGGTTTTCTCAGAGTGAAGTTAAATCGTTTTTCCTTATTATGCACATATGGTCTTGTAAGATAATGTCTTTTAAATGGTTTTCCAAGGTACAGCAAAGATGGGATGAAGCAATGCATCAAAACAGCCGAAGGCATGGAAAAAGTAATGATGGAAAGTTCAAGTATGAAAAGTTTTATGTAAAGTTTGAAATTGCGAAATAAAGAATTGCCAATGTTCCGTGTTCCAACACTTACCAAAGAAGTTGAGAATTTCTTACTGAAAATTAAACTCTTTTTAAAAGGCAAATTACTGATAATTTTCCTGAATATTGATTAAAATAGAGGAAAAGAAAATCTAAACTTAATTTGTTCCATTAACTTCCGTTCGTAACTTTTCCTTCAATTCTTGAAATTTTCCATTACTAAAAGTTTCCATGCTGCTTGGATACAGGTAACTCAGCAGTTATAGAGAGAAGAAAATAATTAAGTTCATGGCATCATTCAGAATCAGTTCATATGAAAAATGAGAAGAGAGTTCAGAATAGAGAGAAAGGAAAGAGAATGGTAAAGTGAATGATAAGCTAGAAAAAAGCAAATGGTAATAAATTCATTATTCGATTTTAATAACAAGCGAAGAGATGAAGAGCAGTGAGGAAATTCTTTCCAGGTGATGTGAGAGGATCAGTATCACAAGAACAAGTAAGCTTTTATGTTCTGATTGGTTGAAAAAAAGCGTTGAAATTTTCCTTTGATGATAGACTTAGGACTTAGAGGTTAAATATACTGCATGAAGCGTACCGAACCAAGTTAAGCATTATCCAAATTTCATTAAACAATTCATTTTTTGATGGCGGAACAGTTTTACAGATTATTTAGAAAATTTCCATCACGTTATGGAGGAAATCCCTGAAATTTGCAAAGAGATCTGCATTACCGTTTTTGTATAGAAATAAATATGGAGTCTGATGGAATTAGGCAATAGCTGATGTGACTTGGTTCCTTCATGCTTAATTACGTTTAAATAGGGTACAGCTCAAATTTTTTTTAATTGAAAATTTTTGGACCAAAACTTAAAAATTCATGGAAATACTGATTATATAGAGGAGAAATAACAAACATGATAAAATGTTCTTAAAATTGTATAGTTGCTGCTACAAAAATTGGATACAGCAAGATGTCCTTCAGATTTATTCTAAAAAATAAAAGTGGAAAAGAACAACTGAAACATGATGTATTTTATAGGTTTCAGTCAAAAATAAAACCAAAAAATTTACTGTTTGAAAAACTCCTTAATGAGAAGTTGTATTCTAAACAGAAATCCTTAAAATTGTCAGTGTTTGGAAATGTATACTTGTAAAACTAGAATTCATCGCAAAATCGTCCTCAGTTTCATCTAATCTATTGGAATTTTCTGAAGAATAAACTTTTGCTCTTTGTGATACTGAGTGTAAGGCAAGAAGACTGTAAAATAAAAATAATGAGAGACAAAAATGCTGTCATTCCGTGTAAAAGTGGCTTAAGTACAGGAAACGTACCCGATAATCAAACTGATAACATTTCCAGTTTCTTTAAATTTGTTATTATCAGAGGATACTCGACAAATTTTAAACCGACGTTTTAAAATAGGAATCAATAATGACGTAATAATAATAATAATGATTTTTATTAGCTATCAGGTGCTGAAAATATTTCCAGCAGTTTAAAAAAAAAAAAAAAGAGAGAGGCTTCACACTTGTACTTTACCCGACTTGGAACGCCGATAATATGCTACTTGAATTCATTTTATTTTTAGGAAAATTCTGAGAAGAATGTGCATGATTGACCATTGTTTCCGACTTGTTGAGAAAACTCCGTTTGGTTTCATTGATTCCTAGGAATAAAACGCGCTCTGGGAATGATTTAGTTACTCACTAGTGCGCTTTTCTTACTCAATAATTTCTGCATACCTACAAATTTTCTCCGGCAATGTTTGAGAACTTTTAAACCAGTCAGCACGAATACAAAATTCCCATACAGTCACACAGATCATGGGACGCATTTGTCATGTAGCCATTACACGAATGTATTTCCATGTTTATACCTCTTTATACCTCTGTAGCTATATGTTGAATGTATTGAGCTGACGTTGGAAAGAGCCTTACTGTTTTCTGCTGAGTTAACATAAATTTACTGACCCTTCAAAATACACTTCACGAAATAAACCCATTACCTGATGATTTGTTAGTGGGCTCTATTAGGAAACCGTTCAAAAGAAAAGTGAAAGCCACTTACACACAACATGACTTTTATTCATCCAAAGATGATGATTGGAGGAAAGAAGATAAATGCATAGAATGCAAAAAAATGTCGAAGAAAAGGGAGAGAGAAGCAATTGGACACTGCTGAAAAGAAGAAAAATACAGAGCAAACTTATTTAAGGCACAGCCTCTTTAGCTGGGGATCTCCAATACAAATCTCACCTTCACATCAAATACCTCCCCAGGCCGCAACTTTCCAACCTAAACAAAAAATATTGTCAGAGGCTGAATTAATCTTCAGAGCCAGGCCCCTCGGTAGCAGAAATTTGAGATAGAAAGGAAATAAACAGGGACACAGTAGAGGTCAAATCGACGACACAGTTGAACATGAACGTGCAACGTTCCGACTTCACAGTTTGCGCATACGGTTTAGTCCATACAGCTGCGTTCAGGATTTAGAAAACTTTTCATGGTCCAACTTTCATCGCTTTATTTATTGTAAATTTTGGGGCAAAAATAGATTAACTCAAAGTAAAAAATGCAGTTATCCAAGCTTGATGGGGGGGGGGGGGGGTGAATCAAATATGAAAATCTTAGGATGAAATCTTAGATTTTTTTTCTAAGACTTTTTCTTAAATTTTTGTTTTCTGAAGCGTGGATTGTATCACCTACGCAACGACACTAAGGCTTCCTCCATCTCCTTATTTTCTTTTAAGTAAAGTGCTTTTTGATCTGAGTAAACACTTTCGTTTCTGTCTGTACAGAAACTTTTACTGATGGTCTTCCGCAGGAGCCAGCTCAAGTACGAGAGGCCTCAGATACAGAAAGCTCAGATAACCAACGTCCTATTGTAGTGATTTAGATGTCGAGTATTTAAAAATTTTACTCATTAGGAATATCAGAAAAACCCCGTTGTTTTAACAATTGAAGGGATACATTAATCACTACAATTCCTGAGAAGAATTTTTTATTTCACGAAAGATTTAAAATATTTTTCATCCTGAAGATGGGCACATTTTCTTGTATGTTTAAGACCAAGATTAATGTGAAATTCTGGTGATTTTTTTTTTTTTTATTTATTTACAGAGTGAAAAAAAACGATTATTTATGAAACTTTATTTCAATCCAAAAATCTGAAGATTTGATCTTCAATAATAATCCAGGTCAGATAAATTATTTGTATTTAACATTAAATATTATTTGGACTGGCAATGTTCCGTTGACATTGATATTTTTTAAATATCATTCCTGCACCCTGTGATGCGATTTCAGTTAAACCATGAAAATTAGTTTAAAAAAATTAAAATAAATAGAATAACTTGAAGCCACATCTTGTGGTCATGATTAAGTAGATTAAATAGATTTACTTTCGAACGCACTGTATTCTTGAGGCGTCGACCAGTATTTCTTCCACAGCAACATCATAGTAGTGCCTAACTGCTAAAATCAAGATTCGTATGCTTTCCCATGAGCTGCTCCATTTTAGAATAATTGCAAAGCTCGATTTCAAGATATGAGTGGCCTTAGTACCTTTTTTTGAAAAAGATTCAAAAAAGAAAATATCAATCAGAGGAAGCTCCTATCTTCAAGTTTACGATCTTACTTCCATCCATTTAGGGCAGACACATTTTAGAACCAGGTAATGAACATAGCAGGACAGAGGGACACATGGAATAAATTTTATAAGTGTCTGCTCTGTTATTCCTCATTTCTTTGCATCACCTCACATACAGTCACATCATTTAAGTGCTACAATCTTAAGAAGCTTACATTCAAAATCGTCCAAAGTTTTCAATTGGCTTATTCAAGAAGATATATGTATTTTGGACTTACTTTTTAGTAAAACAGTATTTAAATAGAAATTTCTTTGGAGGAGATAAAAAATTACTCCTTTTGGAACGCATTGAGCTGCTGGCAGTGGAAGAAACACTGGATCACTAGTGCAAAACAAAACAAAAGAAAAGGCTCGGCTAGAATATACAAGTCAGGCTCAGTCGCGCGAAAAAAAACCGAAAAAAAAAATTAATAAAAATTTAGTTGAAAAAATAATTAGGTGATTGATAAATGAATTGCTCATGACCAATTTCTTTTGTTCCTTCTGTATTATTTTACCTTTTTCTCTTCAAGTACTTCACCCGGACGTAGCTTTCTGTTTTCCTAAAAATACACAAAATTGAAAGGGTAAATGAGGGGAGAACAAGGTAAATATAAATCTCGCATTTTGTGAAACATGGAACCGTAGTTTTCAGGAAATGGATTAAAAATTTTAAAAAAAGCACGATAGCTTCTGGATGACACGAGAAGAGGAGAACGATATCCTTGGTGATACGATAGAGAGGAGGATAATGAGGGGGAATGAACTGATGATACTTGGGGAAAGGGGAGTTTACGAGTGTCTTCAAGCATGTTACAAAAAATGCTTGAATGATTAGAAATGAAAGAAGAAATTTAATGAAGATAAAAAGCAAGTTTTTCATCCATTTCTTGCTTTCTTTAGCTCTGTATCAAGATTACAATTTAGAGATTGGTTTAAAATAAAAAATAAAAAATGCTGTTTATGGTGACAAAACCATGAAAGGTGTGGTCCATATTGGTACTAAAACAAAACCCACCTAAACTGCAGTCAGAGTTTGAAGAAATCATAACATTTGTACCGGAAACAAGGCTTGAAAAAACAGGAGCCCATCACCATATCACCATCAAAACCATTCGCACAGTTTTCATTTGCTCTTGGACTACTTACAAAATATCAAGATACTGTGCAGCTGTTAGCTAATCATAAGAAAGCAATGATGCATTTACTGGAAATTAAAGGCAAAGAAACAGACCCAATTCATCAGCTATTGGCTGACGGTTTCTAAAGACGAGTCGTTGAGTAGACAGTTTTTTCTATACACAAAATTTAAGAGCTGAAGATACGACCAAATATTTGCGATTGATCAGCTAAAAAGTTATGGCTAAAAATAAATAAAAATATACATTGTATATAAAGAAGAAAAATGCTGAAAGTGCATACTTTTCAATTTTATTCCTTTTAAATCATTAACACAGTAGTTTTTGAAACACTCCTCTCAAATCTAAAGTTAAACAAATCTTCTGCAAGTAGAAAAAATGCTAGGCATTTCGTTTTATCCTGACCGATGAAAGTTCAATAGAACATGTCTCTCTGACTGAAAATGGTTTTAATTAAGAAGAACAAACTTTACAACTTTACATTTACTTTTAGGTTTTTCATTAAATGAAAACTACGGTGTCATGATAATTCATTTCATGACAGGAATGATGATAAATTAATTTTCCAGCTTTAAATTTAAAATATCAGGACGCAAAATTATTTTTACCATCAGTGAAAAGTACACACTCTCCAGATACTGAGACAATAAGAAAATGTACAACTAGGATATAAAGTGATGAAGAGAGGGAAATTTCTTCTTCATCAAAGGACGAGAAGTACATGCGCGATAGTACGGCTTGAAATTTTGGCATAAAACCGTACTAAACTACTTTACCTCTAATTAAAAGCATAAACCACTACGTAAGCTTGGAATTTCTACCCTAAGATGATACAATGAAAGCCCAATGTCAACATCAACTTTTATCCTAAAATAAGCTTTGTTCTGGTGTTCTAGAATGAGTAACAATGATCTAAATACAGGGAGTAACATCAAGTAGGAGAACACTCTTACCTCGTCACTGATAATCAAACTTGGGCGGCGACCCTTTGCATCATCTGCGGGCGGAATGAGTGATCCTCTACGACTTGACTGACCAGAACCTGGCGCCAGAGAACCTTTACGACTGTCAACTGGAGTTCTTTCCCTGATGACCTCGATTTTAGGTGCGTCCGGAGCTTTGATTTCTGGGAGTTTTCCAGTCTACAAAAAAAAATTGGCAAAAATGGTAACTACACGCATCACAATTTTAAATTTCTTTTGAGGATGAGAAATGAAAAGAAGGTAGGAGACAGGATACAGTAAATAGTTTTCAATGATCGATATATCCAGCAGCCTATTCTACAAAATACAACGTGAATGCATTGAATACTTTGGAATGAGTACAAATCAGATTTTCAGAGCTATCAATGGATAGATTGTGAATTACATTGTGATTAAGAACGATTTCTAAAATAAATACCCCCATATTTTGCTGCCACTCAGAACTATAAATGGATGAATTAAGTGCGAAACCACTTATCTTCATTATAGTGTTTCAAAATCTCCGCTCCTATCTTGTGTTGACAAAGAAAAACAAGCCAACTTGACAGCTTGAAATGTATACAGAATATTCTGATTACAGAGGGGATAATTCGAGGGAGTTTAAAAAAATTACGTTGGCTGGGACTTCAAAGAAAAAATGAAATACGACAGGAAGTCTGCAAAGTTGCACATGAAACTTACGTGGTTTCGCACTTTAGCTATCAATATGTGAAATATTTCTATAAGTGAATCTTCCCCAGTTGAATGTACATTTCGAGAACCTCAAGGGAAGAAGTGTTTTAGGGAATAAAAATAAACCTCTTGATTGATCAAGCGAGAAAATGAAATAGGCTTGGCCCTGTTTGTCTGCTGGGGTGAAGTTATGTGATAGGGCGGACTCATCAATTAAAAAAAAAAAAAAAAAAAAAAAAAAAAAAAAAAAACAGAAAAAAAGCGAAGAATAGAAAGACATAATTTGCGATTCTGAAAATAAACTGATGCACTTGAGAAGAAAAAAAATTAGTTTGTTGATTTACCAAACATTTGGTGAAAAAATCTTAATGGAGAAACACTGAGTAAGTAAAATAGAGAAAGGAAGAGTAACAAGTTGATCTTCACTGATGAGTTCGCTGGCATTATTTCCGCATGTTATTCTTAAATCGAAGGGTATATCAATGGCCAAAAGGCAGAACCAAGTGTCTTTAACCAACTTTTCAAAATTGGGAGAAATTATTCGATGATTTGGCATCACTGAGAGTTGAAAATGCAACTATTGAATGACAGAGAGAGAGGGAGAGGAAAAGACAATTAACTAAAAAAAAATTTTCAGTGTCCTTTCTAATTTCTTTCATTGATGAAAATGCCTTATTTCCTCGAAATCAGAACTTGGAGGTTTCACAGTTCAGACAACTTTAGCTTCAAAATAAGGCAAGCCTCTGTAATACATTCAAAATTCTACCAATACCAAGTGAAGAAACTGACAAATAAAACAGACGACACGAGAGTCATAATACAGCTAACTAAACAGACTAGCAAGCTCATTACATACTGACTACCGCAAGATTACATGAAGAAAGTTTAGCATAACATGAACTGCGAGAGTGATCGACAAAATTTGTATTGCATTAACTTGCTGAAATAACTTATCGACCCTTGCCAGTCTTCTCTAAATCCAACTGGACACGAAAGACCACTTCTTTCATAAATAAAACACACTCATCTTGAGATAGACATTTCTTTGTCAGAGAAATATTTTATTCACTTAAAACTCCTTTAGTCCTCTGAAAATTTTGAAGGCTGACTTTGTAATGGGCAACTGGATAAGGCCTGAACTGGAAGAAAACACAACATGTTTCCTCTTCATAGTCTTGCGTAGAAAACAATTCAAACAACAGGAAGTTTGGAAACCAATTCCTGTGCAAGATATTACCAAGAATTTTTAACACAGATCAAATGGAAGTCAGATCATACAAATTAAGTCATTTGTATTTTTACCATTAAAGCAGTGATAATTGTAAACACCTATGTCTTGTTTGGGCCTTGATTTCCAGACTTGCCATTGTAAGATTCAATTTCCTCATGAAATCTTGAAGAGCAAACATGTTACATGGTGCTTTAACTCATACATTATCTATTGGCCGACTGGATTGAGGAGGTGTGAGCTGTAAAGTGTAGGGGACATTATACTGCACTAGTCTTTATGGATACTGAATTTTGTAAAACTTTAATGAATATTCATTTTTCTTGAATATCACACAGACAAAATTTCCTTGAAAAAATTGGATGGGAGGGACAGGAAAAAATTGAAAAGCCAAAAATAATTTAAAGCAGTTGGTAATCTGGTTAGTTTTTTCATTATCTACTTTTTAAGAACATAAAGGCTCTTTCAAATGAGCTAGATCAAAGGATCAAAGAAGGCACATTTTGTGTACAAACTGTAGATTTCACTTGCACTTTGTATCTGTTGAAAATCGTTTGGCTATCTTCCTTCCTTGTATATCCTTCCTTGTATATCTTTCCGTATATTTTTAGTTACTTTAATGGTAAAGGAAATTGCGCTTAAAATTTCATTCTGCGCTGGTGGCACTTTCCATTATTTGAACCTACTTTTATTTTATTTTAAGCAGGCATCGTGTCCACAACATTCTTTCAATAAAAAATCATATTCACCACTGCACTAGATTTTTTCTGTTTCAATGAGACATATCATTGGATGAACCTACCTGTGCCTTTCATAATGTTCCTCCGCCTTCATTCTTTAAAATAAATAATTATGCCTCATAGTCTTCCTCCGCCTTGGCCCTTTTACCGTTGTTTCTAAAATTTTGAGTGGGAAAATTCGTCCACTCAAAATTTTGGTAGACATGAATATGTAAAAACTTTCGCTTTTAAACTTCTGGAGCAGGACTTGGTATTATTTAGAGGCCCTACTCTATGCTCTTTCCTTACCCTAAAGCATTCAATCACAGAGTTGATTAAATTTAGAAAATAGAGAAGAAGAAGAAGAAGCAAAGTACTAAATTTGAGGACGGCACAATGAAGATTTGGCAGCGGACAAGAGGACAGACGCTGGCGAACACCCGCTTCTTACCTTCCAGCTAAACGTATTGTCTGACTCATCGAAAGTATCTTCTTCCTCTTCGGAGCTCCCGTCTGATCTACTACTAGCTGTATCCTCATCGTCAACCTAAGTGTTCAAAATTAGTGATCATAGCTCCTCGTGTAATACACTCATCTGCGTTCGCAACTAATCTTCAAAATTCGCCAGAATGAAAACTTCGGAAATGAAAGGACGCAAATTTCTCTTTATCGATGAGACACCATTATTACTTTCTTATTTTGGGTAAATATATATAGTGCCTGAGAAGTTGTCAGAGAGAGTTGAATTGATGGCCAATACCTTTGTTCTTAAAAATATTGCAGTGTTTCTCTGCTAGTAAGTGACATTATTTTTTCAGTGAATAGTGGGAAAGAATTAAGAGAGAGTGCTCTCAGTGCATATTAAAAAAAAAAAAAAAACAATAATAGGTTCAGGATAAGATGACCTCTTTTCAATCACAATATTTTAAATAGTGAAGTTCTCCTATCTTTCCAAAAGTTTTTTTTCTACTTATAGGAGGGTAGAATAAATGTTCAAGACAAATTATTCAGTTCATACATTTTTTGGTGTCTTGTTTAAAAACAATTTCGAATTTTGAAGGACTACAAGGTAAAATTTTCCGGTTGAAATCATTAAAATTCTTAGGGACTATTCAGGGAACTAAAAATTCCATCACCTTGGAGTTCAAAGTAAATGATTTGGATAAATTAACTTTAAATAGGTTTAATTTTGTAGTGGTTACGAAAAGATCAAAAAGCTTAAAAGATAAGAATATGTATTCATAAAACTTATCAAAACTTTTTTTCGAATATTGAATTTCTTTCATTCTAACGTATTCCGAGTCATTATTGTATTTAACAATTCTTCATAGGATTATTGATGGATATACGGATCCTTCAAAGGTGTGGAAAGTTCGATCAGCGATTAAGAATTACCTCTTGTCAAATGCGATGGAAAGAACTAAATCAGAAATGTAGTTCTCACTGAGCATATAGGCTGAATCACTTAATGACACAAGGCGGCAGTAGCAAACTTAACCAAACAGGCACTATATAATCACTGATTCACCATATTTTTTTCCAACATTTTACCTTAAATAATCCAGCATAAAGGGATAACAATCACGGATTTTCCGAATTCACATTTCCATTCAAAATCACGTACAAACAGAGGTGATGACAGACCACACAAAACCCAAACCAAACTGGGTTAATTAGATTCAACTCTGGGGAAAACGCCAAATATGTTTTTAATTTTATGATAACTGCCAAACCCTGCAATTCATTATAATCTACCATGGAAACAAGGGACGATTTGGCAAGGAACCTCCCAGATCTAATGGGAAGCTCCGACCGATGCTCTCAGGTAATTGAGCGATCCTTGCCAAAATCCTCTGGCCAGCTAGCAAGTTCTTTGCTCATTATTTAGCAGTTCTTTTAATTGACGCTTCAATTATTACGTCGCTGACAATAACGATGACTTTATTTATCACTCCCCTCGTTAAAGTTACTTCGGTAGAAATCCACCCACTGCGATGCAAATTTTATCAGTATGAATCTTGCAGGCACTGTTGCCATGCCATTTACCTGAAATTCTGCTGACTTTTTCAACTTAACTTTCACAGTACCTAGTACCTTAAGTATTACAGAAAGTACTTAGTCTTTAAGTATTAAAAAAAATAATTCCTGAAAGTTCACTTGTGAGCATCTCGGATTGAAAAGAAAATTGATATTTAACAAGCAAACATGGATAATGCCGTATTTGATGAACTGCTTTGTTGAAGGGATACGAGGAGAATTTGGGAACAAAGGGGGGAAAGAATATTTTTGTAGGTTCATATATTTACTGGTCTAAGGAAATTGTCATCATTACAACTTTAGAGCATCTGCAGAATTTCATATTTTAAACATTTAAAGTTTTTTTTCTTCAGTTTTGGAGCAGACGAGTCATTTTTTACTGCCAAATGCATCATGACTTAATGTTAAGAGCTTTAAAGAGGAACTTTTTTCGTTTTGTTTAAAACTTGGGGTTTCTAAAACTTACTATTCAGAGTTTTTCAGATCATTAGTTCATAGATTAGTTCATTTCATTAGATCATAGTTCATTATTATCAACAAAGAGGGACTAACTGGATGCATTCAAGCATCACGATTTCATCCACAAGTTGGAAAAATTTCCTTATGTATTTTGTTATTTGGAGGGGAAAAAGAAAAATCATTAGGTACTACTTAACCTTTCCCGTAAAAAGAGAGGTATCTTCGATGTACATTCCTCAAAATTTCACGAAATAATGCTGAGAAAATTTTCGTTCAGAAAATAAAACTAGAAAGCAGATATTGAGAAAATTTAAGTGCCATTAATTCCCTTTCTTTTAAGTCCATTTAACTGTAATTCACATCACACAGAATGTGATTCGAGTAAAAATAACTGAGATGAACCAAGCAGAACCTTCAGCGAATTTTTTAATTGGCAAATCTATTTTCGACTTGGCATCACTGGATGCCAGGCACCTGAGAATTCTGTTGAAAACTGGATGAATTATGCCTCGGTATGAAGCAGTCATGATTTAGAGTCGCACGCCACCTTCGACCTGTCTTTAGTAATTTACGTCTGGTCTAATTTAACAAGCACTCTCAGCTATTTAATGAAAACTCGATTTTGCAAGTTTGATCAACGTTGAATGGAGATAATGTTCAATTTGGCAATGTAGCAGTAAGTGCCAAACTTAGAGAAAAATATTAACACATCTGATACAAAATAATAATCTATAAAATTAAAAACAGAGACCTTTTCATCGCGATTAAATGACAAGTTCAATACCTTATACGAGCATTTTCCATTTCCCTCTCCTCCCCTCTTGTTGAAAGAATCATAAAAATCAAGGGAGAAAAAGAGTGTCTCTAAAAAGGTTACATAAAAAAAATTGATGGGAATAATTCCTACATTCTGCATTTATGCAAAAAAAAAATTCTTATGACTTCCTGTCAATTTAGTGGTCAATAGTTAGTTTTATTTCTTTCTTTTTTTGGGTGAAGTTTTTTCTTAAAATTTTGAAAAAGTTGAAGACAATCCTCTTATTTGTTACTGAGTTCCTGTAACTTTTACAGCTTGCTAAGTATTTGCCAATGTACTAAGGGCAGAAAAAAATGAGGGAATTCAAGAACTTTCCGCAAGTTAACCGACCTTCATGATTAAATTAAACAAGACAATATTAGAGAAAAAATTCAGTTTTTCAAATTTTTCCCAGAATCTTGGACAAACAATCTTCGTTGAAACTCATAAATTTTAGAATTACATCTATGAGAAGACACTTGAGACTCTTTCAACCTAGATTATATGCCCATAATAGATGATTTGTGAGAATTTTTGTGGAGGGGGGAGGAAAAGTTGTGATGGAAAATCAGCTCTGTATAAGCTTTGCAACAAGAAGACGTGAAAGTCAAGAACAATTGGTGACCAATTTACATGTCCTCCCATAAGATGATGAATCAGGGGCCATAATTTAAAGTTACAAACAAAGACACGATGAAAATAAACCTGATAGAATTACAGTATTACACTCCTGCAGACACATAAATATCATGAATTTCCCTTTGTCTAATGAAGGGAAATAAAACCAAACAACACTCGAAAGAATATTTAAGAGTAAGATAATTTTGTGGTCATTCTTTGGTGTTTAAATCGTCTTCATTGCAGGAACTTGGTTGTTCTGAAGTTATGATACACACATTTATACTTTGAAGCAAGTGCCCGCAATGATTTTCACAAATAACTCATTATTAAAAAACGATCAATGTTTCGAACAAGAATCTTGATTGCTATTTAAAACTGTAATATAGAGCTTGATGAATCTAGATCATTTGATAAAAAGGCAATTGAGTTTTGACACTCAATCTGTCCGTTACAAGCACTGAAATTAGAGAGAAGAAAAATTTATTTACCTCAGCGGAATCAACTTTAGTTTCAGGGGCTTCTGGTTTCTTTACAGGTTCCTGCATGCAAGACAAAGTGGGTGATTAATTAAGGAGCCACAGTTACAGTTCAAAAAATATCAATGTCAGAGGAAAGAGCTAGTACGGATGGTGAGACCCATGTGAGGAGAAATACAATAAATATTAGAAATAGTTGGAAAAATTCATTGTTAAAGTGGATGGAGTGGAGGGAATACTCTTTCAATACTTTTAAAGGTAACAGAGCATTGAAATAGAAAAATTCAGGGTCGAATATGCAAAACTATATGGCAAGAGCAAGGCTATTCAGAACGCAAACAGGAAATTTTCACACCACTTCATGTGAGTGCGTTAGACGCTGACTGGAAAAAATTTTGCAATAAGTTCAATGGAGGTTTCTCTGGTAAATAGTGGGGGTATGCAGTACTTATTTTAGTCATTTTAAGAGGACAGAGTTAAATTTTAAAAATTACAATGAGTCTAATGGTTCATGCAAAGTTTAAAATAATGATGCAGAGCTGAAGGCTGAGTCTGTGAAGTCACCCGTTTTTCAGAGTTAACTTTAAATCCAGTTTTATTGAAAATTACCCATGCCTGAATTCCCCCCCCCCCCTCAAATATGTCATTTACTTATTTCATTCACTATCAACTTTGATTACTACAGAGTGTCTGGTTCTTCAATAGAGGACAGGAAATCATTTGTTCTACTGATATCACTGATGCATAATTCAAGAGAAAAATACTTTGAGATAAAAAAAAATGCATGGATTGTGGCAAAAAACTACAGTGTCACCAGGCTGAGAAATCGGGCACATTGCAATGTATGGAACTATGTCTCTAGTAAAAGCAAACTCAGAGTAAATTGTGCCTGTGATAAAACTTTGACAGAACTACGACTGGCAAGCTCGATCAGACTTCAGCCTTTTCCTGTTTGAGGGAGATGTCTACTAATATGTACCCTCATTTTTTGTGATACGTTATTCTTATTTTGAACATGTGTCACGATGGTAAAAACAACGCTCATTTACCTTGACTGATGGTTTTTTCAGACCGAGAGTTGATTTCGGTTTCTCCTCAGGTTTCTGCAGACAACATGCAAAACATATAGATGAAAGGAGGACGAGGACACAGAACAGATCACAGGACAAAAACATACAAATACGACAATAACATGTAGGTTACAAATATAAGTTTTTCCTGAAAAGCTTCACATCGTAGAGTGAAAGATCAAACCATACCGACTATGATAATGCTATCAGGTTCTATAATATAATGCTAGAACTGTAAGGCAAAGGGAGGACATGGCTAGACGTAACTAATTGACCACCAAAATTAAAATAAATGGAGTTAAAGAAACACTGGTTGAGGTGACAGATTTTTTCTAAAAAAGTAAAAAAATTAATGATTTACTTGCAAAAAAAATTTGGATGACGGAGTAATTTTTTTCATTGAGAAAAAAACACGAGACTTAAAATGAACATTAAAACATGAAAGTACTTTAAAATGTAGCAAATGAAAAGGCTGAGAGTTACACGTACCTCTAGGGTTGGTTTCTTTTCCGGCTGCTTGGGTTCGCTAGGTTTAAGGTTTTCTAAGGGTTTTTTAGCTTCCTCTTGGGGTTTGGTTTCGGGTTTCTACAAGGAAATACGAGTAACAAAATGCAACATTAACAACAGAGAACAATGGGCAGTGTATGCTTTGAAAAATATAATCAGGCTTTCTTCACAATTACAAGGTTGGATCATTCCAGAGGGAACAAAACCAGGTTTACAAATATTACGTAGGTCAGTATACCAAGTATTTTCTCATAATTTTGGCAGGATTCAGAGCAAAGAATTGGTGTGCTTTTCATTGGGGAGAGCCATCAAAATAATGCAAATTATTAAGAGCTCAAGATTTCTGTTTTCTATGAAATGCAAATAAACAGCTGCAATTCTATCATGCGACTATTTACACAAGACAAGGATTTAAAAAGAATACCTCTAATCCCTTTGGGACAAAATCAACCACAAATTCATTTTTTAACTTGTTGTTTGTTTTGAGGATTTTAAAACTTATTTGAAATCTGGTCGTTCTTCATGTAGTCCATACATGTAAGTCCACTTTTTTCCTTTTGTTTATGAGGGTTCCAATTTGATTTTAGTATACTGACCGACTGGTGAGAGACATCATAATTTCAAAGTTCTATGGGACATGGGAAAAACTAAGTACTGCAGGGCACAAAACAAATATTGGAGCACAGTTCAGGCAAAATGATGTGTGCATATTTTTGCAATGCAAGAGCTAAGGATTTGATGAGAAAAATGCAAAAAAACAAGACAGACGTTTGGTTGCAGGGGAAAACATACAAAATGTGTAAAATACTAAATGTGGTCGGGGTTTGATTGGTGGCAGAACTATTTGCTACAAGATAATTTAACTTACTTCCAACGCAGCTTTCTTCTGATTTAGGAACACTTTAAAACCCATGATAAATGGTGAAGTTGATAATATAAATTCCCGGGAGGGATAAACTTCGAGTGAAAATTTTTGTTTTTTCAAGAATCTCAAATGTTATAGTTTGAGCTTTGTTACCAAATTCTCCTAAAACACAGACGGCTAGCCGAACTCTAAGTACATGCGCCTTAGCAGCGGCATTTTAAACAATTTTTTTTACTTAGCATTAGGAAAACAAATCAATGTCATTGTTTGAAATTTTCACAGAATATTCCTCAAACAGAGAGGAATAAATAAAGAAACTTCAGGAAATTACATGGATACTTTTTGCAATCGTAGAAAATTAGTGCCTTTGCAAATTGAAGTACGTTTATCAGAATTTGTTTCTAATTGATTTGACCAATTATTGAAGCTTTTTCAATGATTTCCAATTAATTTAGAGGCAGGGCTTGGTGGATGGACACGATAAAGTAGCTTTTGGTTGCATTGGCTTCTAAAATTCGAGTGCTGAAAAAAAGTGAGTAACAAGGGATGTTCCTGAGGAGAGATAGTGAGGCAGGGTCATCTAACTTACCTTCAGACTGTCCACAGGTTTCTTTTCAGGTTCTTTAGGTTCGACTTTCTTGAGACTTGGTTTCTTTTCAGGCTCTTTAGTCTCAACCTTCTTTTCTGTTTCTTTGGGCTCAGTTTTTTTGAGATCTTTCAAGGTGGGTATCTTTTCCGGTTCTTTGGGCTCAACCTTTTTCAGGCTTGGTCTCTTTTCTGGTTCTTTGGGCTTCTCAAGCTCCGGTTTCTTGATACCGTCAACGGGTTTTTTCTCGGCCTCTTTAGGTTTTTCAGGTTCTTTAGCCTCCACTTTTTTAAGGCTTGGTTTCTTCTCAGGCTCCTGAGGTTTTTCACTTTCGGGTTTCTTGGCCTTCTTTTCAGGTTCTTTGGGTTTGGTGTCTGTTTTCTGTAGGTGTAGGGATTCCAAAACAAAACAGAAACAAAAATGAAACGAGGAGGACAAAGGGCTACGCACAGGGCAAAATTGGAACATTCGCAGAGAATCAATGCAAGCAACCGAAGAGTTCCTTGGAGGTACAGTATACACGCTGGTTTTAAGCAAAATAGATAATATTACAGATTAGATATTCGAAAAGCACTCCATCATCTCACTTAGGACATCACACTGAAGTAGGCTAAAAATATACAAGACTCAACGTTAACTACTTCGGTGTTTTTGATTGGCTGAAAGATAATATTTTCTGCAAGACGAGCTTTTAAATTTCAATTTTTGTGTGTTTTGGAACGTAACTTCGAGGACTCTTTGGTTGACAAAGGAGTGAAAAATGGGAAACAAAACAGCATTCAAGAGACAAATACGAATGGAACCAAATGTATCAGGTGGTAAGCACCGTTTGACTTTGAAAGGAGAAAAATCTCTAGGGATTAAAAAAAGAACGAGGATAATTTGATCAATTGACACGAACATTAAGATCTCATTCAAACTGACATGAAAAAATAACATGGAGATAGCTGGGGGAAATCCGTGCAAGACAATACTTAATTTACTAGCCAGCTACTTCTACAAGGATGACCTAAAATAAAAATTGGCTCATTATGATGTATCAGTGCACCTACTTTTGGTAGAAGAATGTGCAAAACTGTCTGCAACGTGTTCTTTCAGTTACTAAAGAGTGTTTGCTTTTGAAAAATTCCCATTTTTTATCCAAACCTTACAAAAATCTCTCCTCTGTGAAATTTATTTCTGTGCGATAAATAAGTCACTTCCCACAGGCATTATCACAATGAGCCAAAAATGCTTCAGAGGATTTTCAATTAAAAAGTCAGTACTGATTACACTGGTCAACACTGAGTGTCTAGTGCCGCTAGTTCCATCTAATTTTTGCCACTTGAGCTAAAAATGACGTTACTTTAATTCCAGCATCTTTGAAAAATTACATTTTCGGAAAAAACTGAGTTTTCAGAGCTGAAAGAGACATCTGTTTAGGAATATTTAATTTGCTGAAAAACTGGTGCCTGGATGTTGTAAAACAAACTGTTTGTCTCAGCAAAAAAAATTAGATGAAAGTGGCCCCACTAGACACTTAGGAAACAATATTTTCTCATTTTTTCCGACACAAAACAAATTTCCTCTCAATTTTTGGGGGGAAATTCACAATTTGTCTTGGCAAACCAGAACTAATCTAGAAAACAAGAGGTCATTTTCGGAATTGTCACTAAAAATCTGCATAAAATTGATTAAAACTTCTTGGCAAACATCAAGAAAAACGAATTGTTGACTGTTATTATATCACTACTGATACATTGTAGAGCTGAGAGAAAAGGTATTCATATGATGTGCTTGAGCTAAAAATAATAAAAAAAAAGAAAGGAAAAAACATACCAGCTTATCTGTAGTTTTCTCCGCTATGTTGTTAACTTCTGGTTCCTTGACCTAAAAACGTAAATTTGACATGCAGTAAAACAGTTTGACAAGCAAAATCACTGATCTAAAGAACAACAAACAAGGTCTTCAAACTACCATCACAAGAGGGTCGAAAAGTCTACACATTCTTGTTTAATCTTCAGATTATGAGCTCATGCTTCATTTCACCAGGTTTTTGAAGGATTTGCATGCAGAGCACACACCTTTCTCCTAATGTTACTCTCCAGACAGAGGATCACAATATAGATAGAACTTTGAGTCAAAAATACAGTTTTGTGGTATGTGTGAGAGTAAAATAGCATATTACGAGGATCATTTTTAACATGAGTTTTAAGGATGGGGGGACGAAAAAAAAACCTATGATTGAATCAACGGTCACGGAGCCAAAACTTTTGATATACGAACAACTGCATTCAATTTGCTTATTTTTATATCACTTGCATCATTGATGACGTCATTTACCATATCGTCAACACGTGAAACTACTGACATTCCTGAGAGTCAAGGGTCAAAATTCTGGCTTATAATTGGTTGAAAGCCTTAATAACAGCCTTGAGTCATGCGATAAAATTCAGCATTCCGAACGGTTGAAAAAATATTGCACCTCAACAAATGAGAGGACTCAAAAGTCATGCAACTAAGAAATTGAGGGCTTGGATGAAGTCTCAATAAAATCTTTGAAAAATTTATTTATAAATTATTATAAAAAGTCTTCTTAGCCATAGAGTAAGAGAAATTGTTACAAATGAACTCAGTTTACTAATAAAATGTTTATCGACGAACAGGCCACTTTTTTTTTTTTTTTTTTTTTTTTTTTTTTTTTTTCAAGTAGCTGCCATTAAATAAACCAAAAATTACAGAGACAAACAAAGCAGGGTTGCCAAAGAATTTAGAAAATTAAATTCCCTGACATTTCCCTGATTTCCCTGACGCATTTTGGTGAATTCTCCTGACAACTGAGCAAATTCCAGATTGTTAAAAAGACGGTTAGAAATAGTTTTCTTGCAAGAGTTGTTGCTCAAAACGTCGATCTCACTTGAGAAAGCAAGAATAGGTGACTCGAAAATTTTCCCCTGACATTTCAAGATTTTCCCTGACTTTTTAAAATTCCCTGACATTCCCCGGTGTTCCCTGACAGTGGCAACCCTGACCAAGTCGCATCTAATATGAACCGAGCAAAGAAGGTAAATATAGGGTTCGATTCCTCCATGAGACTCAACATGAGGGACAAAATTTACCAACTATTATCACCCTCAAAACATTTCTTTCGACTTTGAATTTTGACAAAGAAAAATGTAGGGCTAGTTGAATTCAAAACCACTCCTAATTAATTATTTTCCCCAAAAATCGACTGAAGGCTTTTCTGTTAAATAAAGTCCAAATATAACTGTGCTCTGACTCATTAATGGAAAAGATTTTATGATCATTAAGTGAAAAAGAGATGACAAAATGTATCTCCTCAATTTCGACTTCAGCTATCTATGAAAAAAGTTGACTCATATAGAATAATAGGAATAAATTTATAATAATAGAGAAATTTTCCAAATGAAGAATAAAAACATAAATATTTTTGAGAGAATAGAGGCTTGCACCAACATATATAGATGAAAAAAAAAGGCAGCTTACGGTTAGGAAATCATTAAATGTGAAAAAACCACAATTGAGTGTGATTTAAAAATGTCATTTCAAACAAAAAAAGCAAATCGTGATGATAGAGGCTCTATTGTTATATTTTTGTATTAAGATACACAAGTATTTTACTAGCGGCTGCAACATGAGGTTTTACTCTTTTTTGTTATTGACGGAATGATGTGAGGTTAATGTCCGCGCTTACTTTATATAAAAATCAATGAATGAATATAATTAACTTCTCTTTTGGTATGTAACCATAATTAGGTCAAAATCCACCAATTATAACTAAGAAATGTATTATTTTTGCAGGATGACAAATTCAAAGTTATGAAAGAGAAGCATGAGAACTATAAGAGTGCAAAAGAAATTGAAGAAAATAAAGCTTCGCACAGATAATTAAACAAAAACAGAGAAAACCTGAAGCTAGCGGAAGACACCAAATCGTGAGCAAGACCTAAAATTTGTATGTTACTCTTTTTTTTTTTTAAATTTAAGTTTTATTTTTAAGAAAATATTCAGCAGCCTTGAATATATTTTGTTTAGGCCTTCTTTGTAATACTGGCACTGATAAAATTAAAATTTTAGAGAGAAAAGAATAGGGGAAACCTTTTGAAAAAACTAAAAAATATTGTGGCTATACCTTTTACTCTCTTTTTTACTTGAAAGCGTCATACCTACAAAAATCAAAATAAACGAGGGTACACTCAAAAGTAAGGTATTCCATTTTATACCTCAAGAACTGTGATAGACCAGGAAAACTTTAGTGGCAAACCTTGTAAAATAACTCAGAAAAAATATGAAATTGATATTTTTTACGAGTTTGAAAATTGTACATGAAAAGCTTATTACTAAGTATATGAGATATAAAATACAGAACTTACTCTTTGGTATACACTCTCATAAGTTAAACATTTTTGAAAATTTCAGTTTGATTAAACTCTTGGTTATTTGTTAGATAGTTTAAAAAAATATGCAGCGTGCAGAACCAATTAAAGGAATCTTGCCCGTAACTATCAGAATTTTGAGAGCTGGCAAAACTAAGCCGTCACCAAATATATTCATTCAATTAACCATGAGACCTAAAAGAGACAGGCTGATCAATAAGCAGAGAGCACAGAGAAAAAACTCTGGTATTTCCGACGATGGCAGCCGATTTCGACAGCGCAACACCGTTGATGGAGTTTATTAATTCTAACAAAATAAAGCTTACCACCGAAGATTCATTTAAAAATTTCTATCAGTTCCCGAGTAACCAAAGGCAAGTCCACCTGCACGATAAAACTGTTTAAACAAATTGGCAGTGAAACAGACAAAGGCAGGACGGCACAATTTGATTATCAACGCTGACAAAAAGTGATGAAATCTTCACTAGAAGATTGACCATTACCTTTTCTTCATCCTGGCCATTAACTACAGGGGCACCATTTAAGTCTTGTGTGTCATTGTGTACGCGTTTCGATGTTTTTCTGGTTTTGAGTGTATTAGTGTCAAGCGGTTCATTTTCATCTATCGTCAGCGATGGTTTCCTGTCCTTGGTCTCTTTGGTTTCGACGGTCAAAGACTCTTTGCGCACCGGTTTAAGCTTAACATTCAATGGGGACTCCTCTAATTGGACACTGGTTCTGGGTGATTTCTGCTCATCTTTCACCGAGGTTCTCCTGACGGGTTTCAACCGAATGTCCTGAGTTCGCCAGTCCTCCTGTCCTGAGGCTAGGGATCGCTTCCTCACGTATAATTCAGGCTCCTCGACGGCCAAAGACGATTTGCGAGAAGTAGCAGGAGAGACATCTTCCGAGCTTAGATTCTCTGGTTTGAGAGACGTTTTGCGCCATGGGTACGGACTAGTGGATCTGGACCTATCTGATCCAGAATCTGGAGCTCTTTCTTCAGGCTCCGGCGATTTGTTCTTTAGGAACGGGTGCACATCTTCTTCCTGTTTCTTTAACTTTTTCTGAAGGAACTCGGGGACCGACTCTTTTTCAGGTTCAATTATTTTCGGAGATGGTTTCCTCTTGATAGATTCTTCGTCCTTCTTGGTAGATAATCGTCTACTAGGTGACTCCTTACCATCAGTTGTATCTGTTTTACTGGCAGGCTTCTTTGGAGTGACAGGCTCATCTTCCGGTGCATTTGAGGGTTTCCTCAAGGAGTTTGGTGTCTCTGACTCATTGGTGGATGGTTTTCTAGAGGTGGGAACATCTGAATCTCCTTCCGATGGTTTCTTGACAGACGGCTTTCTCTTTGGACTGTCTTCCTTGATGGAGGATCTTCTTGCCTTTGGCGAGTCATCGTTTGCAGACAAGTTGTCTGGTTCAATTGTTTTCAGCGACGGTTTCCTCTTGGGTCCTAATGCCTCTTCTTCTTTTATGGATGGTTTTCGTGAAACCTGTCTGTCTTCATCTGTTGTCGAAGCGACTGGCTTTGTGGATGATTTTTTTCTCGGAGAAACTGGTTTATCAGCATCTGCAGCAGGAGTATTCTCCTCAGCAGTTTTCACAGACGATTTTCTCTTCGGAGAAATTGGTTCATCTTCATCTGAAATAGGAGAATCTTCATCTACTATGCTTATAGATGACTTCTTTCTCGGAGAAACTGGGTTGTCTTCACTAATAATGAAACCATTGGTTTCATCTGTTTTCACAGATGATTTTCTCTTCGGTAAAATAGGTTTACCTTCATCTGCAATGAGAGCATCGGGCTCAGTTGTTTTACTTGATTTTCTGAGAGGAGAAACCGTTTTCTCCTTCTTCAGCGAAGGTTTTCGAGAGACTTTCGGTTTGTCCTCATCAACAAATGCAGAGTCTGGCTCAGGGTTATTTATAGACGGTTTTCTCCGAAGAGCACTGGTTTCTTCTATGTCGATAGAAGTTTTACGATCAGATTTTGGTGCATCCTCGTCACTGGTAAGGTCTGAATCAGCAGATCTAACAGACGATTTCCCTTTCCTGATAATTACTTTCTTGGGAGTTTCAGGCACATCATCAACAGTTGATAAACCATTTTCAGAGACAGACGGTCTTTTGGCTGCAACTGGTTTATCATCATTTATGGATGATTTTCTTGATGTCTTTTGTGTAATATCATCTACCTCCTCACTCGGTAACCGCGATGACTTCTTCACTGGTTTTGGCGCATCGCCATCTTCAGATTTGGATACAGACTTCTTTTTAACTATTTTCTTTGGCTCATCAGGATTAGACCCATCAGTTTCACTGGTTTTTACCGATTTCTTGCGGATTATTTTGGGTTTTATTTCTTCTGGCGCTTCATCGTTTGGTTTTTTCTTTGGCTCTTCAGGGGTAGATCCATCAGTTTCACTGGTTCTTACCGATTTTTTGCGGATAATTTTTGGTTTTATTTCTTCTGGCGCTTCATCGTCTGGTTTTTTCTTCGGCTCTTCAGGGGTAGACCCTTCAGTTTCACTGGTTTTTACCGATTTCTTGCGGATAATTTTTGGTTTTATTTCTTCTGGCGCTTCATCGTCTAGTTTTTTCTTCGGCTCTTCAGGGATAGATCCGTCAGTTTCACTGGTTCTTACCGATTTTTTGCGGATAATTTTTGGTTTTATTTCTTCCGGCGCTTCGTCGTCTGGTTTGAGCGAAGACTTTCTGTCAGAGCTTGGCTTCTTTGACACCGTTTTTGGCGACGGTTTTCTTGAAATCTCTGATACTGAATTCTCCTCATCTGAAACCACCGGACTTCGTTCCGTATCTTCACCAGGTCGAAGACTTCCCCGTTTTGGAAGTTTTAACTTCTCCAGTTTGGGCATTGTGACCTCTGGAGCTTCCACCTCTTTAACTTCCCGCTTGATGGACTTCCGGAAAGGTTTTAAATTTGCTCTAGCTTGTTCGACATCATTATATAAATGAGCTGTGACATCCGGTTTGCCAAAGACTTTCTTTTCTTTCGGCTTTTCTGGAGACGGTTTTTTATCATCAGAGACATCAACAACTTTTTTTAGATCATTCACGTCTTCATCTTTGGAAATTCTTCTGGAATTTCGCCTCAAGGACAAAGTCTTATTCTCAAGACTTTCTTCCTGGTCGACTTCTCCAGTGATACTATCAGATCGACGAACAGTCTTGTCATCAACTGATGTACTGGTGGAAATCTTTTTGACTTTCTTCACTGACGAGTCTTCATCGACTTTTCCTTTTACGTCCTTTGAAAACGATGTTTCACGCTCTTGCTTTGTGTTTTCTTGAACATCTGTTAAAGACGTACGTTTCTTTTTCAGCAATTTGGACTGTTTCTTTGATGAATCTTCATCGCTAGATTCCTGAAATTCTGTGACCTTTGATGTTCTTCGAACATTACGAGAGTACTCCGAGTCATCCTCATCATCGTAGATGGATGAACGTTTCTTTGTTTTAGTCGTCCTTTCCGAATCATCCTGATTATCCGAAACTGAAGATAGTTTTTTAGTTTTAGTTTTTGTTGTTTTTTCTGTTTCATAAATTGAATTTTCATCACTGGAGTTGTCTCTCCTATTCCGCAATCGCAAAACTGAGTCCTCTTGGACATCGGCCAACGAAGATCGTGTTTTCTTTGTAACTTCACGAATGGATGATTGGTCATCAGAGGATAAATCCTGATCAATGATCGTCGCTTGGCTGCTGACTGAGGACTTCCTAGTGTACGACTTCTCATCGTCTGCTTGCCGAATCTTGTGCGTTATTGTGTTACTACCATTCGTAACAGACCGCCGAGAGATAGATGTTTCCTCATCGCTTGACGTTTCTGTGTAAAGTGAGTGAGTGTTTTTTCTATTATATTCGTGAGATTCACGCTCGGTATGTTTGGAGGTTTTACGTGTTTTTGTGGATGGGTGATGGCTATCCTCCGTCTAGAGAAAAAAGTTCCAGGAAAGCATGCATTAACAAACAAAATTCTAGCTAAGAAGAAAGTAAGGTAGAAGAGAAAGAGGGCAAGTCGCAACTTTGAGCGGAATATTGCCACTAAGATAAGCTACAAAGTCTACATATAGAGCCAAGATAAATCACCAATGGTTGACTTCTAAGATTCTTTTTTATGCAAATAGATAAGAGGGAGCAGTGCAAACAGAGGGAAAAGTGCAAATGAGAAGAAATTGATTTACAGTTTGATCTACAGGTACAAGCTAGACAATTTATGATCAGAATGATTTCGCTCCCAGAAGAATTGAGATAAAATGATGCAATGATTTGAACTGTTTTAAGTGAAAATTGTGAGAGCAAATCCTGGCATTCTGAACTTCTGCAGTCATTCCATGTTTTCAAAACCCATGGTAGCACAATGTTTTTGTGGAATTTTCATGATTTGTCAACATACTTCCAGGCAAAATCATTTTAATTCATGCAGGAAGGTCTTGGAGGAGGAATAGAGAAATAAAACCATGCTGATATTAAAAAAAGTATGTCCTTAATTTACACCTTTTTTTACTTAAAACAGCTCTTTTCTAAATTGGGTATAACAAAATAAAGGTTTCAATTTTTTTTGGCCTGTTAATGATTTGAGAAAATCGACAAAAGTTGAGCAATGGTACATCATTAAATCCAAACAAAATAGAGGTACCGAAGTCTATGATATATTGTTAAAACTCAAATTTACTGAGACAAGAAAAATATTGTGAAATCAATACACTAATGGTTGGGAGCTTCATTTCTCAAGGAATATATTTTTAAGCTAAATTCTGGGCAATTCTGACAAAATTAATTTGTACTTACTGTCGTTATCATTTTCCTAACCACGGTCTTAGGTTGGGACGAATATTCTGAATCGGACTCCTCTTCATCATACTTTAAACAACCTGCACTTTCTTTCCTCTGAAAAAGGAAGTTGAGGGAAGGGAAAAGAAGAGGCATGGTATTAAACTTGAATCTAAACTGAAGAAGTGTAAAAAGGGGGAACAAATTATTCCTGGAATTTATGGTACGGGAAAATTATTTTCTCACGGAAAAATGCAGGAGAGCCTTTGACTGGGAGGGCAAAGTTAAATAATTTACCAATAAAAATGGCAAGTTAGGAATATAGTTGAATTTATGAAGGAGCTTGCTGATTAATGATGAAACTATTGTATTTTGATCTAATATTGTAGTCACATTTACAGTAGATTACCTAATAATAACAATAAATACGAATTATTCTGGACATAATTCTGACTACAACCTAACTTTGTAACATTATGAGATGCTTACAGGATACTCTTTAAAAAATTCCGTTTCATTAAGATTCTGATTTTGGAACTGTTCCAACAACATTCAGAGGTTTAAGATAGGTATCAATAAGCTCACTTAATTATTCTCTCTAAAATTTTCAGTCATGGAGAATTCAAATATAAAGAGTTGAGCAGAATATTTACAATTAATTTAAAAGAAGAAGATTTTGGGGAACTTATGTTTACTCACTTTCAACATTTCAATGAGTTTAACACTGGATCTTCGCCTCCTCTCCGGATGGGTTACTTCCTCTTCGTAAGTTGTTTCATTTCTCTATTTTGCAAAGAATCAACACTTGTTAAACGGGAGTAAGAGTTTACTTCTTTTCTAATTAGAGGGGATCACAACTAAAAATCCAACATAAAAAATCTCCTTGGGCAAAAGAACTGAACTAATTTCAAAATCAAGGATTTTTCATTCAAATTTTACTTTTTATACAACTGAAAGTATTTTTACTTTTATTCTGCTGTATGTATAAATCACTGCATGAGAACGATAAAGCCTCAAAAAATTTTATGTTCTACCTAATTAAAATACTGGGTGTCGACGATGATGTAGAGATACCTTTGATAAACTGTTTTAGAGAATGACTCCTATATGTTGCATATTGTTCATACACCTAGGGACTTAACTGAGCTGAATAGTTTAGATTTAGTTTTATTTACTACTTCCTAAGTTTTATGCTAGCAAATAAAAAAAAATCAAGAATGAGTATTGAGGAGAAAGAATCTCTTGTACCATGTGAAGGTGGAAAATACAATCAAACTTTTGTCTTGCTTCAACAGCACAACTGAAGATTACCTTTATTTTGCTATGAGGTTCCCTGATATGTGAAATTGAAAGGGACTAGAACAGATGCCACTATTCAGATAAGAAAAGTCAAAGGGATCCATGCATATGAACTGCAGGCAAAGTAGCGATAAGAGACGGAATGCACTGCGTTTAAAGTTCTAACTTTCCGACTACATCTAATACAAAGGCAGCATTAAAGCCTTTAATACTTCTACAAAAAAGACAGATGGGATACTGAATTAAATACAGTGGATGCATTAAACTTACTGTTGTCGATGTTCTGCGAGATTGTGTTCCTGACTTACTGTCTTCATTTTCCTCAAATTGTGTTTCAAACTGCGCATGCAAAGATTACAGATGATGTAGAAATTTTAAAACAGATCATTTGCTGTTACTTAAAATTGTGATAGTGATATGTTTAGAGAGTGATTTCTTTCCTTCACTTAAAGAGTGGTTTGTACTATTTGACTTGTTCAATAGAGGTTAGTTTGAAGTAAGATGGTCAAGAATCCAGAAGATCTAATGATTTCCTCTTTTACATAAAAAAAAGAATGAACTTTTATGAAGGCTCCAGAATTTTGCTCTCAGTTGAAAAAAGTAATGAATGAGTGATTCTGAAGATATTTCAAATCTTTCTGATGATTGTGAAACCACTAATAATCCTCAGAATGTAAAAGTATTAATACTAAGGACTAAGGAGAAAACATGGGATACAAAAAAAACTAGGGAGCAGCACTTAAAAAACCAGAAAAGGGGGTGCATCAACTCATTAAAATCTCTGACTAGTGGCGTCCGCAGATAAGAGAGACTTTTTCCCCGATTTTAGGAGCTCAAAATAAGAAAGCAGCTTATCTGCAGGCACCTGCGGTAATTTGGTACAGAAACTTTTCTGCATTTTTGACATGCCTGTCCCAGGGTCCCGCTAAACGCAAAAATAAGAACTATCAATGCTGATGCGTGTGGTGGGCTAATACATTTGTTTTATTTCTTTTTTTAAATTGTTTACAACACCATACTTCTAAACTATTCCATCACTGTTCACCGTTCACGTTTTCTTACCGATGGTGGCCTATCTGGCCACCATCGGGGACGCACGATCAAAATTTTTATTCATCAAGACTGAGCACTAGTTTCAATAAAAGAAGCATAAAAAAAATTACCTGTTTGACTGAGGACCTGCGTCTAGTTGTCAGCCTCTCCTGAGTTTCAACGATTTCCTCTATCTACAAATATGTACACCAATTAGCATTCAGACACAAATAAAGGACATGCACAACACATATCTACGCTGACTATGTACAGAGAGAATTCACAAAGGGAAGTTTTTGGCAAACAAATATGAGGGCTACTTCTAGGTGGGGATTGTTTCAATCGAACATAGATAGGTACCAGACACGAGAAAAGGGAACAAAAGAGACCCTTTTGTCAAAAGACCAAATGCAGGCAAAACAAAACTACCGCAATCTAAAGCCTACATTCACAAGGTATCAGGTAGGAGACATCTACAAATATGACACTAGTAATAAACGTTACCTCGTTGGTTACCTACTTTTTTCATCCTTAAACGTTGCTGTAAACATTTAGAGACAGTAAGAGGACAATGTGAGATACCCAATGATTTTTGCATGGATTTGTACTGATGAGATTTTAGGTGTACAAAAGGTAAGACAAATTTTCACTTTACGAGTTGCGAAACGGGGACAAACCTGTTTGACGGATGACTTTCTTCTCACTGATCGTTTTTCGGACTCTTCGGTTTCTTCCTTCTACAAAAAGAAAAAAGAAGGAAGAGGAGAGAGTTAGAATAAAAGGTGTTGTGAAGGTAAGACAGAGATGCAAAATGTAACAGATCAGAGGTTTGTTAGAAATGAATGATGCTTGAAGATGTATATTCATTGAATTATGTACATGTGGACACTTAAGGCGACCGAAAGGAACTATTTTGCACAGAAACCCTATTTATAAAGATCTCTCTAGTGTAAATACGTCCAATGCTTCACAAAAATGTTTAGCTTGAGTTTAAAGCTTGTTTTGGCAACAAACTCTTTATAAAATTTACATTTTTTATCATTGAAAAATGTTTGTAATTTGAAGTTTCTCCATTAAATAGACAACTTTAGTTGTTCTCTTTTCATTTTCTGAGGCACAATATTATCCTCTGATGTTACTCTAGTAGTCTGGTTGCATTGATACTAAGGACCTCTTAGCTCGTGCAGTTGCCAAACGGAATCCTAACAGAAAACGAGTATGCACCTTCCCACAACTCGCAAGAATTAACTTCACTAATACAGAATGCTGAAAACCATGGTATCAACATTGGTATTTTCTTGATGAAACCAGAGGTTGAATTCGAAGCTACAAACTTACCTTAGTGGAGACACTTTGTTTTCTTTCTTGTTTCTCCTCGACTGACTTTTGCTCTGAAACTTCTTCTTCTTCTTCTTCCTCATCATCCTACCATGCAACATGATTAAAATTACAGGAAAAGTTAGTGTCAAGGTGGGGATAACAGATCAGACAATGAAAAATAAAATATTGATGATTTCAGGATTCTTTCTACACCGACTTAAAGCTTCTGTTTAATATTTCATTAAGGGCGATTGTTTTGACTTTTCTTCTTTGTTTGAAAAAATTACTGGATTTGAAGGAAAATTTACAGGAGGTGCAAAAGAAAATTGAGGGCCTAGTTAGAGAAATATTTAAAAAAAGGAGTATACAAACAAAGGAGGGAAAATTTAAATCTATTAAATTCGAAATTTGTTTCACAAGACGGAAGGAAGGTTAACATTAAAAATAAGGGGGAAAACGATTTTGAATATATTTCATGGGATACACATTAATGACATCCTTTCAATGCAATAAAAATTACTTCACTGAATGCAAAAAAGAACAAAAATCAAAATCAACATATTTTATGTACAATTTTACAGATGGAACGTAAAAAGATAGATGAAAACATCATGTAGAGAAACATGTGTCGCGGTTCCGTCGAAAATTAGTGGGAACATGTTCTGTGGATGGCTACCTGAGAGTGCGTGTATTTTGTGTGAGTATGTACATTTCGTTGCCTGGCTGGCAAAAGAGCGTAACTACATACATTGAAATGAGTCCGGAAAAGCTTTGAGTTAGGCAGGGTTTTCATTGCAGAGTGTAATTACGCTCTTACGTCAGAAAGGCGACGATTTGATGATTATGACTTGACAGGATATAAACAAGGAAATTTGCAGCTTTGGAGTACTTTGTTATATGTTTGGAATACATTACATATACTGTACGCGTGGAGGTGAGGGATAGTGCCCATGCCGAACAAATTGGGGAAAAAAAGGGAAATGCACAAAATATGATGTGTTGATCCCGCTGATTAAGAGGTAAACAAAAACTATAGGTTTGTTTTGTTTGCTTTAGCTCTAAAGACTCACCAAAATTCTCTGTATGCTGCACCTAATAAAAAATTGGCTTTGAAAAGAGAAATAATTTGTGATTAATAATGTGCTGTTTTGATGTGATGTGTAAAACGTAATTTGGAGAGAGTTCACTTGCAACACTTAGAGGAATCTTTTAAAAAAATCATTCTCAAAAAATGTTCCATGATCATAACGTATGAGAAGTAGGACTTCACAATGAAAAATTCAGAGGGGAGATAAAACATTCAAAATTCTGGTTTTTTGTTCCTTCAACGGTCAATTATACTTTACAGAATCTTCTTTTGAGGACAGATGCTTACAGAATAGTGAGAAATAAAAAGACCTGCCATTTTTTTACACATGAAATCCTGCAATCCAATTCACACGGTTAAGCTGTTAGCTAAAAAGTAGTCACCCTCTGACTTCGCTCAAGATAGAACTTGATTTCTTCTAATATCTCAATAAAAGCAAATAGAATGTTGAAACTAAGTATGTACTTCATGAATCCTGTACACTAAAAATGGTAACGTATAAAAATAAGATTTAAAGTCTACAGAGAGACAACATCTTTTAGTATGTAATGAGGCCCCCTTTTTAAGTTGAGGTTTCTGGAATTTCGCGCAAATTTTATACGAAATCCAACGAGAAAAAGAATGATTAAAGTCAATGATCAAAGAGGAAAAACTTACGGTCCATGTGCGTTTTTCTGAAACAGAGAAAATAAAAGAAAACTTTTAATAAAAAAGAGCGGAGAAAGATTTTAGAGGCATGACAAAGTGATATTGAGGATTACACTAGAAAAACAGCTATCTTGAATGCAGTGTTTCAAAAAACTCATTTGGTGTATACTGTACAAATTTTTACGTATTTTTCTTTTTAAGATCCAAAAAGTGTGTTGACCAAGTCAAAAATCCATTTCTAAGTTCAAAAAAGGCATTCATGGCATCTCAAAATTTTATTTAATGACATGATTTCATTTGGTTTTCTCTACACTGCTAGAAACTCTTTAAATCCAGCTGCCAAATTGGTAATTTTTATGTGAATGAGGAAATTGCTTGCATTTTAAGTAAAGGACTAGTTAGGGTGGGATGAGGGGAGGTTAAGATGCCTTAAGGCGTAATAAGAAAATAAGAAATCTACCTTTAACTGAAATATTAAGATTCTATTTTAAAGTGAGTATTCCCACTCTTGTATACATTTGAAACTTATACCCTCTATCATTTTCCCCTTATATCTTAAGAAAAGGAAAAAAAAAGAAAAAAAAAGGAAAAGAAAACCTAGTGAAGAGAAAATCTGATGATTTAGAAATTTTGTTATTTTATTACCTGTTTTGAGTTCCGCTGATGATTCGTCACTTCCAGCAGAATTTTTGAAAATGACTTTGTACATTCCAGCAGTGTCAGGAGTGGCCGAGAAAATTTTCAGCCGTGCAGTCTTTCCGTTAAAGGTTTGGATGTATTCTTTGGTTGCCTTCAGTTCTTTGGCATTTCTGCAAGGAAAATTTAATGTGTTGATTTTCCAAATGCATGAGGTTTTTGGAAATTTAAGAAAAGTATTTTGATATTCTGCCTGAAATAAACTAGGTACTCTCACCAAAATGTTCTGCAAATTATTTCAATATCCTTCGAATCTTGTTTCCTTCAATGTTTTTGAAGTTTAAAATCACCTGAGTGTCTTTCAAAAGCACTAGCATGAAAATTTCTCATAATACTTTGAGAATAAAAATTAAAATGAAAAATTAAAGAAGGTCATCACTTTTTAAGATTGCCTCCCAGTAGGGCATGTCTCAACTGCCTCATGATTACTGCGATCAAATTTTACCTCAGTTTACGTCTACTTGTGGCTATTGGGTTCAAATTTTTTCACTTTTGTAATGCTTTTGAGGCTCATGCTGCTGCGGAGGAAAAAATTGAGAAAAAGTTAGAGGCTTCCTTTTTGTTATCATGATATTAATATTTCTTTCGTTTTTAAGATTAATTCCTTGAAATTTTCTTGAAAGTTTCAGAGGAAAAGTTAAAACAAAGTGTATATTGCACTTATGATTCTTGACCGAAAGATGACAAAATCATGGAATGGGATGAGCGAAACTTACTTGTACCAAGTGACAGTTACTTCCTTGTCAACTTTAACCAAGCTGCATTCAAATTCTGCCGGCTTGTTCTCTGTTATGACCTGAAAAATAAGTAGGCACAATACTTTTAGGAATAAAAACGAATCCTTTTGAGTTTGACTAATCAAGACGATTTCCAAAGGAATAAATGGCTGAAACATTTCCTTGTCTCTGTTTGTTGAATTTACAGTGCTCCAAAGCCTTTTCAATTCTCTATTCCAGACATTTACTGTGAGATTGATTTTTGCATTGTGTATTTAAAAAATATGCTATTAAAACCATTTGCCACTGTACCTGAAATACTCACAAAATGAAGCATTGTTTTTCTCTTTTCGTTTTTTACCGATTTCAAGAAGTCTTCTCCTGCACTTAACCTATACATACACCCACTCTCAGGTGACCTTTGCCTCATCAAACTCAGGTCACTTTGCGAGGAATCAAACTCTGTACCTCCTGAACATACGGCCAGCGCTACAGTCACTATACCACAGGAGGCCAAATTGAGTTGGGTTCAAAGAAAATCAACTACCCATCTATTTTTTTTCTACTTCAGCACAAGTGTTGAGACTGTTTACAGTGCAATTAATGCATATTTAGAGAAAAGATAAAATTTCAAAAGACTTGCAACAGAGGGATAGCTCCCTTAATTCTATCTTCAAACTCCCTTGACTATATTGTGACTTTGTGCATACTCGTATTATCTTCATGAATTTGTTTCCATCAACGGATCATGATAAGATAAAAAAGAAAGTAAGAGAGAGAAAGAGATAAACAAAATCATCAAGATTATCACTTAATGAAAAAAAAAGAAGAAAAAGAAAAAGAAAAGAAAAAAAGGGAGTTAATTTAAATGATGAAAATCCCCTTACTATTGAGCGAAGTTTTTGGAGAATTTGCGGTTTTTCCTCTGGTTTCTGTGGCTCTTTTTTCTCCTGCTTTTCTTCTGCGATTTCCGTCACTTCCACAGTTTCCGATGTTACTTCGCCCTTTTCATTTTTGACTGTTAGTTGATAAATACCTTTGTCTGTCTGATCAGCAGGAGCCACCTCCAATTTGATGGAATATTCACCCTAAAAAATAACATTTAAAATAATCAAAGAAAGTGGACACAAGAACACAATGAACTGGAGGCGTAGAATAAAAAAAAAAGAGTACAAATAGACTTGCAAAATAGGTAATTTTGCCTCATTGGATCTTTTTTCTGGGCTGGAAAATGGTACTATTTTAATAGGACCATTTCAAGAGTTGCCTTTAAAACAGGACAGTTTACTAAATCAGTGCTTGAGTTTCCATTGGAATAATTTCGATACTTTCCAGAGATAAATAGGGCAGTTTCAAATCCCTTGTTAACCAGGGAACAAAAAATTAAACATTGAATTAACAAAAAAATCAAAATTGCAGATCATCTGTCGGTGATAATGGATGAAAGAATAGGTTATTGTCGGTGCAACTGAGAATACAAAGAGAGGAATCTTGACAGCACCAATCAGCCCTTCAGACAGAGCCCGTCAATACTATTACTATCTTCTTAAAATTTTACTAAAGATATCGTAGTTTTCTACATACAGGGTTATTCAAAAATCACGCACCACTCACCATGAGGGGGGGTGGCCATTTGAAATTTTTAAGTTGCCCCCCGCCCTCCCACGGAATCAAAAACTGGAAAGTACTTTAAAAAGTTTAACCCTCAATGTGAGGAAAAACGTCTTGAACCACAAGTCGATATCATAATTAGAACTTAAAGTTATGGCCAGTGGTGCGTGACTTTTGAATAGCCCTGTATATGAAGGAATATAAGTGTATTTTAATGCTGCAAAAAGTTTCCTTGCAAATTATATTTTTACTGAGAAACTTAAAGGCATAACTAAATAAACATTAATCTTCTGGTTGCACGCAAAAATCGCCATCATTCTGGACAGAGATTGTGTATGCACATTCCTGTAAAACATTAAATTGTTTGGGTCCATTTTTTAACCTTGGAATGGGTTACATTCCTTCATCTAAAAAACAACGACATGATTGTCTTTTCAAAGTGGCAGTTATTTGAACTGCGAGACGTGGACCTTTCTTCCTGATCATAAAAGAAACCATAATTTAGAAAGAAAAAGGAAGAAGAACTCTACTGTTCCAGGTGTACATCAGTTATGTATACAACTACTCTGACAAACGCATTTTAATAATCGGATTCTTTTACATTTTTCACAGTCCAAAAAATAAATTATCAGAGACTGAATTATTTGTACTTTTTATTTACGACCAAAAATGGGAGAAAATTTCAAGAATAGAACTATACTGAACAATTAAAATTGATTGGAGGAGTTTTTTGGAGGGATGCTCAGTTTCAAGGAGACATAAAAACTTGAGCTAAGAATATGATTCCCTTACATCTCTTGTCCTTTCGATGACTGTTTTTCGCTTGTGATCTTCTTTGATGACCTTCTTTTCCTTGGTCCAAACAACAATGGGCTCGAACACAGATTGTACTTTGCATTCAATCACTACAGTTCTTGTTTCGACCACTTTGCGTACTTTGGGTTTTTCTTTTATCACAGGAATTACTGAAAAAATAAAAAATCACAAACTTTAAGAGTTTTAGACAGATTCAGCATACTAGTTTAGGATTACTTAAATATTATTGAAGCATGTACGGATTTTAGAGTGTTGAATGATTTTGCTTTTTCAGACTGGAACACTTTTTGAATATGATGCACCAATTGTAAAATTGAAGATGCTGCTCTTACAGCAATTCGGAGCGAAGGCAGACTAAAAGGAAAGTAATAGTTATAATGGTGGTTAATACTTCTATTTTTAGGTTTTTGATGAGAATTTTCAATTATGGATATGGTCATTGAGTGGACCTGATCGGTTAGAAGTATTTCAAAACAGTTTGACGATGGAGATGTTGCATGTGTGAGGAATTTGCTATTGGACTATTGATTCTTATGTAAAAGTTTGTGAGAAACACAATGGTGCCAGTGGTCTGCTCTGAAATCAACTCCTAAGCTCAAAAAAAGCTCTCAAGTTGAGGTCAAAATGGAGGGGATATCCCACGCTATCCTGAGAGTCGACGTCCATATCAAGACAAACTCTCCATGCAAAGATACGGAGCAAATACATTGACAGGGCTGTTGTGTCTTCAGTTTTAGAGTCCCCAAATAAAGTGGCAACCCTGCTAATGTATTTGCCCCCTGTCTTTGTATGGATAGTTTGTCTTAATGTAGAGGTGGACTCTGAGATAGCGTGGGATATCCCCTCCATTTTGGCCTAAACTTGAGAGCTTTTTTTGAGCTTGGGAGTTGATTTCAGAGAAAACCAGTGGCACCATCGTGTTTCTCACAAACTTTTACATAAGAGCCAATAGTCAAATCGCAAATTTCTCACACATGCAACATCTTCATTGTGAACTGGCAGGTCATTTTTGGCAAAGCAAAACATTATGGAAAAAACCAAATTTTAACGATTCATTTTTGAATACTCTTGATAAATTTATGACACTGTAGTAGACTGCCTTGCTAAGTAAAAACGATATATGAGCCTTCAGGCATTGCTCAATTTCCTTTGAAAAAACACGAATTTCCTGGTGAACTTGTGAATATTTTTCTTCCAATTTTTCGGATAATTTTGCTCGTAATTTCTCTTAAAGTTTCTGAATATATCAAGGAAAAATATTCATACTTTCTCCCAAAAAATGAACATTTTCGGATAGAAAATTTTACAACTCTTGTATGTTCATATGGTGTTTTTTCCTAGCACGGCAGTATAGGTGAGGGCTTCGCAAATTCATATCTAATATGATTTCTGATCATTTATTGACAACTTTCCTGGGTGATTGTAGATTTTACGTCATCTGTATTTGATTCGGTCTTTTCACTTTTAGTTAAGAAGTAATTATGTTTTAGCTTCTAAAAGTACCATACACACATGATTTGGCGCCTTGTGCACCAAACTCTTTTGACACGAGAAAGGAGTACAATGACAGAGAAACTACCAGACCACGTATGTCGTTTGCAGTGTTTGCGGATCTCCGCCTACATTTTATTTTTTTGAGGGAGAACAGATCAACATCATTCCTTGATGTTTTCACAGTTTCCTTCATACAGAGAAGTAAAATCACGAAAGGTTTCAAGGATTGAACGCTAAGTAGTTTACCATTTAAAAAATAAAGTATGACAGGAAGTCTGCAATGACGCAAACCGAGATACGTCGTCTGGTAGTTTTAACGTTGACATTAAAAGCTACAGCTTTTTAGTGGAAGCCAGCATGAAAAGTTTGCAAATATTATCAAGTTGAGGATTAATCTAGACAATTGGACGTATTTCTGCCAAACAGAACTATGTGTATTATGATGTGAGTCCTGTTATGCATATATTCTTATGGATCTCAGGGCTCATGTCTCAATGCACATAGTTCCTTTTGACAGAAATATGTTCAATTCATGTATGGAGCCTTGAATCAAGATACAGTGATTAGAATAAAAAAAATTTGCCTTCAAGTGCTTGTACATACATTTCTTTATACATCGATGGAAAAGTGCAGAAACGCATAACTTGGTTTGCGACGTTGCAGACTTCCTGTCACACTTTAATTTCTACAAGGAAAATTACTCAACATCATTTCTTGATGACTTTGGTGAGTTTTTTTCTCTTATAGAAGAATTCTGTGAAAATTACGAGCGAATTGCGATTGTGAAAAGAAAAGCGGGGATTTCGAAGTACCGCAACCGAGATAAGCATTTTTGCAGTTTCATTGTCGACTTGTTGTTCATGCACAATACCTCAGATTTTGTACATTATACATCAGTTGTGAAATGTAGTAATGGGCAAGGGTTGAAGAATCATTTCAATGATCATATTGACAGATATTTTAGTATGAATCAGCAGAAAAAGCTAAACATCTAATGATGAGAGATTTTGGTGGTGTGTACAAATTTTACGAAATAGAGGAGGTAATGAATGGACAAAATAAGGATCATAGCTTTGAAAATTTAAGGTAAAAATGGATTTTTAGAATTGAAAAGCCAACTTGAAAAATGAGACGGCAGAGAACTTTCTGCACCCCTGGAATTCTCCGACAAAGTCTTGGCGACCAACTTTTTTCAAGATTGTAAAATTTAACGTACAACAGCTAATTAAATACTTCAGTTTTCTGCTAAAGTGAAATGCTTTGTGCTGATAATGCTCAGATAAAATTTCAACGGAATAAAATAAATTAAACCAAAGATAAATTTTAGTAACAACGATAGTCTGTCAGTGGATTGAAAAAAAAAGTTGGCAAATTACTCATGCTTAATTTATTGACCAACTAAAGACGAAACTCATACAGTAAAAATATTCTCAATGGTAAGAAAAACAAAAGAGTTTAGAATACATACGTAAAAATTTTAAATATACCTAATACAAGAGATAAATGACAATGCTGAAGAATAAGAAAGTGTTCACAGTGGAAGTGTAGTATTATTTGAAATGTGGTTTAACATAGGGAAGTTCATGAATATTACAGAAAAAAATGATAGAGGCAATTTCTCAAAATAAAGAAAATGGAATCAAGAGTAATGGCCAAGAAAGAGTGCATATGAAAATTTATTTTTCCTCTTTGAAAAATTATCTAAAATATTTGAAAATTGTAACAAAAACTCCTTCAATTAAAAGACTCACATTCCTTGGTGCATAGGTACTTCCTAATGAATCTGAACTCATTTTGGATTTTCTGTTGAAGTGTATGAGGATATAATGTAAGAATATGTGGTTGAAAGAAGATAAAAGAAGAGGAATGCCATTGAAAGACTAGAAAGGAAGGAGAATTTCATCAATGGAGGGGTGTTAGAATGAGGTTGGACTAAAATGATGATCATACTGATATCCTTTCAACGATTTTTCAGTCAAGCCAGGTAGAATTATTTGGGAAAAAGGGATCAAAAGAATAGATTAAAGTCTTTCAGTAACACTCCAATGCGAGTACTCAACACTACATATATCAAAGGAAAAATTACTTCAGTTATGGGTGGGTGAGAAGGTATAAAAAAACAGGAAACACACTTTCCATACGTCACAGAAGGATTGACGAGTTAAAAAAAGAAATGAAAAAACACGGAATGGATCAAGATACGTAGACAGAAGTCAAAGATATAAGATGAGGGGCCCAAAAAGTGTTTGGCAAATTTAGGCACTTTAAAACTTAAGTTTGGAACTAAAATTACAAGACACATTGAATGGTTTCCGGAAGTTTTAGAATAGTTTGATGAAATGCAACCATCAAAATGACGAGCAGAAATTGAAATGCATTTTCAGGAATATTTATTGATTACAGGAATGCATGCACACATTCGTTAAATTCAATTTTAATGGAACGCTGTCAATGGACTGGCTGTCTCAATCAAATTAAACGGATTGAGATGAGTGCAAGAGAGATGAATGAAAATTCTAGTTGGAAAGAAAAGAACGAGTGAGAGATACTGTAGGATTTAAAAAATGGAAAAATACTGATTATTGGGGCATTAATCAGAGCTGAGTAGAGATGACGGACATGCATACAAGCGAAAAGAACTTTTGGAGGATGGAAAACTCATTGAAAAACTTGAATGGGGATACTTAAATTGTTCCTTGTTTCGTTTGAAAAAGAATGTAAAATGGCATTTGAAATACATGAAGGGAATACTGGAGGTAACTACGTTAAGTTATTTTATGATAACATTCATGGACTGAACTAAATTGTAATAAATACTGATTAAGTCGAATACTTGACACTAAATCGAAAAATGCAAAAAACCTTACGACAAATATTCATTGATACGAGGACTAATCCCACTTAAAATCGACTGAACAAAACTAGAAACTAGAAAATCTAATGGTTAGGTAACAGAAATATTAGAAACTAGATAAAATAAAATAGAGATAATAATACTGAGATAAAACTTCACACTAACTACAGAAGAATGTTCTTGACTCGGAAATATGCACAAACAAAATACTGCAACAATACTTTTTTCTCGATATCTTTGTGATTAAGTTTGACATTATTACAAAATAGCCCAAAAAAAAGATTTGGGGACCACATTTATAAACTAAATTAAGAGGCTATACCCCTTGAATGATTCGCCCCTCAGGCGTTATGCACTACCCTTATGATTTTATATCACACAGTAAGGTTTTTAAAACACGATAATAATTGAGGGAAAAAAGGATTAGAACGGAAATTACTCGAACTATTTATTATTACATAAAAGATAGAAATTAAGAAATTGCTATGACTTAAGACAGTTTTTGGATTTTTCTCGCTCCGATTTCAAACAATTAAATTAACAGAGGGTGGCTATCTGTCTCAGGAGAAAAGCAACAGATGAAAGCTTCACTATTTAATGGCATCAAGATCTCAAATTCAGAAGGAATTTCTTGAGACAAAATTATACTTTTTGGATCCAAGTTTTTGAAAATAATAAAAGTAAACTATTTTCATGGAGTAAAAAAGATTTTGAGGGTCTTAAAATCAATACCAGAAATTGTAACATTACGGTTATTGATCTTGAAAAATTCAAAGCACTTCCAAAGTCTGAGGGATCATTTAGAATTTCTTGAAGTGCGAAAATTGTAGAGCTCAAAACAAAAGTATTCTGAGACCAGTCTCAAAGCTTGTTACATACTGTACAGAGCATTTCTTAGGTCAAAAAGACAGAGTTACTCAAAAATTCAAAAAGGGGGCTGACAACTTAATGAAAAAAAATACTTAGTACGGTTCAAATAATTCAAGAGAGTATATGATGAGGAGCAAAAGGCTGAGATTTACAAAAGAGTAGACTTTCCTCTGAAAAAAGTGTTTCATCAAAAAGAGAGTCCCTGTCCGCTTTAGCAATTTCTGAGGGGTCCTGGCCGTACCATTGTTCACTGAAAAACCCCCGAGGCTTTTCGCTTTTTGGTTCAGTTCAATACCCTGAAACAAGCAATGAAGTTTCCTATATGCTCAGGTATTGCAGAGACTGAAAAAAAGATTTTGGAAAGAATGACCATGGAAAACCTCATGCAAGACGCAAATACATCCTGTGTCAATGAGGTTTAGCACCATCAGAGGGGTTTTCCGGTGAACAATGACGAGTTTTAAATGTTCCTGGGCTAAATTTTACCCAGTAATTTCTAACTCAATAAAAAATCTGGGCATGATTTTTATTTTTATTACAACTCATGGGTATTTTAAAAACGGTTACAGATTGTTAGTGCAAACTGGCTTTGGGATTAACTCACAGATACTTGGCATAAATGACAATATTATGGTATGATTCAAAAAGTTTAAGTGATCGCCATCATAAGTTATAGCTATGCACCCTAGTGTAACACAAAATAACTTACTGAAAAATCGCAAATTTAGCTTGGAACTTTTTTTTAATTTTCATACTTCAAAGCAAAAAAACTTTAATAGAAAAACTTTTGAGAGGTGCGTTGACCACAGGATAAATTCGAGGATACGTATCATGACTATGGCTATCGTAGATGAAAATTGAAAATTTGACGATGTCAGGTACATCTTACAAATGAATACAGATTTTTCTTTTCATTCATACATTACGCTTATTGAAAAGGAAAAATGAAAATAGAGCTACTGTAAGGTTAGAACAACCTCTCCTCTTGAGAAAAGAAGGCAGAAAGAAAAATGCGAATTTATTGCGCCATTTACATAGTTAAGTAAAAATATACGACTGGACCCTGTTTGCCTTTTTGTGATGTTGTGGTGAGCATTATTGTTCAACTGGGTTGAAAAGTCATCACTACTTACATCATCAGATTGATCAGCATTATATCAAAGGTGCTTGAAAATTCCTAAAATATAATCTTTGTGTCTGGAAAGAGCAATTATTTTTGTCTTGACCACTTCAATTGGGGAAATAATTGTAAACATACTAATCTTAACGATTAAACATTAAACAACTTCATTTAACCTATGGTCCTTTTCAAAACTAAAATACAATTTCGAACACCTAAAAATTTCTTTAAAACAGTCTGCATTTTGATTTTCACTGTCAAAGAAGGATAATCTGAGCATTTCAGCACAAAGCAGTTGATAAAGATTTTTTTCACCGAGGCAAAAATAATTTGTCACTTTTAATGTGACCTTCCGCGGAATGTTCAGAAGTGATTTGGGGCAAAGCAAGGTAAAGACCTTTTCATATTTTGGAAACCATGGCTCCTAAGACAATCAGCATTGAAATAGCAAACGAAAGCCACATCCATTCTATGGGTTCTGTTCAGTTCCCATATTCGGAATCTTATCGGATCCAATTTAAAATACAAACATTAATACATTCCACATTTCTTAATTTGAAAAAGCCTAGGATTTTTTGAGGGAAGGACACTTTTTTTTACATTACCGTAATACAGGGTGATCCAAAATTCCTACACCACCCATATAACCTCTAGGGTTTCTACTCCAGAAACTTTGAAGGATTCTAAAAGTCGTTTCATTTAATCTTGGACCAATCAAAAAATTTCAAGTCTGTATCTCAATTTGTCCGAAAGTTACAAGGTTGGTGTCTGGTGCTCGTGGTGAGGGACTCTTGCATCATCCTGTATATACAGGGTGTCCCAAAAGTCCGTACCCCCCCTCGCAACATTTGAACGGTTAGAGATAGAAGAATGAAACTTTGGGAATGTTTCTATATTAAAGAGGACCATCTTCTAGAGGGGTCAAAATGTTTGTCCCCCCTCAGGGGGGGGCGCGGGGGCCCCCAACTTTTTTTTTTCAAATGGTAACCCCTATCTTGTGATACATCATTAGAAAGAGCATAAAAAACTAAGACTTTTGGCGCAAACCGCAAATCAATATCATAATTTTTGACCAAGTTATGATAGGTCAAAGGTCAAATTTGACCTTTTTTCAAAAAATCATATCTCCGGTTCAAATTATCGTAAAGAAAAAAACAAAACGGGAAACTTTACCAAATTGTAAGCACTTTTAAGTAAAAATCACAGAAATTACTTTAAACTAATTTTATGGGGGGTTTCCGACCCCCAAATACGTCATTTTAAAGGTCACACGATATTCTCGCGAAATGAGCCAATTTCCCCTTACTTTTCCTCAACATTATCATAGTAAGTTCAAAATTAGTTCAACATTGCGTTTTCAAGTCCCCAAATTTCGGGCAAAGTTCAAAAAACGAAATTTAAGGTGATTCAATTCAACCATTGAAATTTCATTTTTTTAAAACTTTGTTCGAAATTTGGGGACTTGAAAACGCAATGTTGAACCAATTTTGAACTTACTATGATAATGTTGAGGAAAAGTAAGGGGAAATTGGCTCATTTCGCGAGAATATCGTGTGACCTTTAAAATGACGTATTTGGGGGTCGGAAACCCCCCATAAAATTAGTTTAAAGTAATTTCTGTGATTTTTACTTAAAAGTGCTTACAATTTGGTAAAGTTTCCCGTTTTGTTTTTTTCTTTACGATAATTTGAACCGGAGATATGATTTTTTGAAAAAAGGTCAAATTTGACCTTTGACCTATCATAACTTGGTCAAAAATTATGATATTGATTTGCGGTTTGCGCCAAAAGTCTTAGTTTTTTATGCTCTTTCTAATGATGTATCACAAGATAGGGGTTACCATTTGAAAAAAAAAAGTTGGGGGCCCCCGCGCCCCCCCTGAGGGGGGGACAAAAATTTTGACCCCCCTAGAAGATGGTCCCATTTAATATAGAAACATTCCCAAAGTTTCATTTTCCTATCTTTAACCGTTCAAATGTTACGAGGGGGGGTATGGACTTTTGGGACACCCTGTATAGGTGTAAAGGAATTGGACAATCCTGAATTTTTATTTTGCATCATGCTGTGTGCAGTTAAGCATACTATGAAAAATTTTACATGTGATATTCATTGAAGGATTGAGTGCAATTTGGCAAGGATAAGCAGCGTTGTGATGGTGATTTCAAACATTACAATGACTGATGATAAGCAGTGGTAGGGCGTAAGGGCTAAAGTGCATAAGAATGAATAATAATGATAGCAATGACTACTTACTTTCAATGTTTAAGGTTAAATTAGCGTTTAGTTCGCCACACACGTTTTTTATATTGCACTTGTAGAGGCCAGAGTCTTCTGTTCCAGGGTCCTGCAAGAATAAGGGTATGATAGAAGAAACGGTAAAAATCCAGATGAAATGCAAGGGCTTCTATGAATAACATGATGCATTTCCCCCTGGTTTTTCAGCTTGCTTCCTCCTCAAAACTTACCCAATATGTGTTTTCAAACCCTCTTATATTTCTAAGAGAATTTTAAGATCCGCTAACCTTCATGAGTGATGGTACCAAGTTTCAGACTTCTGGTAAAATTGTTCATTAAGATATGAATAAAAAACTGTGTTACATGTAAAAACAGGGGATGTCAGAATCCATTTAAATAATAAATATTGAGCTAAATAATTCGCAAAAGCTCATTAATCTCCTTAAGATTCGTCTATATGAGCACATTGCAAAGTAATAAAACTTAATGAGACCTGTTGTATGTAAGTCCTTGGAAGATAGCACCATTTCACCATTTGTAATTTTTTCCCTATTTTAAAATACTGATAACATAGATTGTCCTTTTTTTTTGGAAGTTACTAAATATTTATATTTTTCGAAAAACCATTACAAATCGTAACTGCAATCACAATTCGATCAATACCAATCGCTCTACCTCTTTACACATCATTAGCTAGATAGTTCAGTTTATGCCTTGAAAAAAGTTCTCTGTAGAAACAGCGGATGTGATCTTTTTTTAAAATCACTGTACCTTGTTGACATTTGCTTCAAATTTAAAATTCTAAAGCTCATTTTTCAGAGAAAGATCCGTTCTATAATAAAGTTCTTGACTGAAACCTATTTGCTGCACGGACATTGAAACGCACAGCTTCGAAAACCTTGAATGCAATTTTCTCAAAACTTATGAACGCAACATCCGCTGTTTATACATAAAAGGCTCCATATGCATTGAGGAGACAATCCAAAACATACCTTAAGTTCCAGTCGAATATAATAAGTTTCGCTAGATTTTTCCTCGACCCTCCATGATATCTTGGTTGTCTGCTTCAAAACCGTTCGCTCGTGGTACCAAACAATGTCGGGTTTCGGTTTCGCCCTCACCGTACAGTCCATGATGACTAGTTTACCCTTATTTTCTGAACGTATCCTTGGTTTTTCTACAAAGGTTGGTGGGTCGCCTTCTGGCTCCGCCTCTGCTTCGATGTTAAGATTTAGGTTAGCGTTACTCTCACCGTACTCGTTTTGTACATGGCAGCGGTACGTGCCACTGTCCGGTCCTACGGGATCCTGAAATTAGTTAAAATTCAACTCAATAGTAAGCATCTGATTACAATAGAGATCACTAAAGTTTGTAATGATCGAGAGATATTTATGAAAATTAATTACTAGCGTGAAGTTCTTCACTTGATGACAACGAGAGATTAAGTTTACCACATTTTCATACTGCAGAAACTGCTTAGTAGATTATGGTTTTTTATATTTTCATACAAGCAGAAAGTTTGACTTTATGCATTAAATTGCATAAATATCTTAGTTAGGAGTTACTTACAAGAATTGCTCTTAAGTAAATCTTGATCAGCTTGAAATTTGTATGAGACGAAAAATATCATAATGCTTAAATTCATTGAGAGTTTTTGCATTTATCTGAGCCATGATATAGGTCAAAGGGTATATATATATACCTCATATATATGTACAGTGTTTTGGCCAAAAAAAATTCCCTTTGCTTAAATGCAGGCTTTGTCTAGTAGTCCATTCAATTCATGTTACCTTGAGGTTCCTCTGATGGGTGTGTGGAGACCAAAATTGTACAAAAAATCTCCCTGAAAGCGGGTTTGGCGTTTGATGTAAACGTGGAAACTCAATGACATCTGAGTTTAAGGTGATTCGATGGACGCCATATTTTGTGTCAGAACGGCATGCGATATATCGCATCATCTGGTTCCATTTTTTCAGCTTCTCGTCATTTTTCTCCGATTTTGAGATCGCAATTCTGTTGTCAGGAGACTAAAGCACTCACTTACCAATTTTAACAAACAAATTCAACATAATAAAGGCGTGGTTTTTTCAGAGAGAAAATATCGCATTCGAGTGCAGTTTTGATATCAGTAACGAATGCGATGTTTTCTCTCTAAAAAAAACCACGCCTTTATTATGTTGAATTTCTTTGTTAAAATTGGTAAGTGCGTGCTTTAGTCTTCTGACAACAGAATTGCGATCTCAAAATTGGAGAAAAATGACAAATAGTTGAAAAAATGGAACCAATTGATGCGATGTATCGCATGCCGTTCTGACACAAAATATAGCGTCCATTGAATCACCTTAAGAAATATGAAAGGAAATTTTGAAATCAGGCTACAGTATTTGATGGTTGAATGTAAAAGAGATTAAATATTACAGTACTTACTGAGATTTCCATAACAATTTCGTACGTATCTTCCTGGCTGGTCATCTTCATCTTGATCTTAGAAGATTCTTTGATTTGTTTCGTGCCTTTGTACCATGTGAATGTGGGCGTTGGCTTGGCAGTGCACTTGCATTTCATGACAATCAGAGTTCCACTCTCATTTGGAATGATTTTGGGTTTCTCGATGAAAGAGGGAGCAAATCCGGCTCCATTTTCACCACCTACAAAAAACAAAACATCCAATACATAGAGATATGTGCAAGAAATTTGATTTTCTCTAATTCTAGCAGCAGCACAAAGAAGAAAAAAAATGACACTTAATACAATTTCATCATGAAGACAGGACCCTGCTGAGCTGAAAAAAGTGCGCAAATTAGGAGATCACACATGTAAATTACGATCCACGATGTTGCAATGCAAGTGACTCCTGTCAATAACTCACATTATAACAAGACAGTTAAAAATTTTAAAACAATGGTCTTAACATGGAATTAATTACGAATTGATCATGTTCATATCCTCCATAATTTCTAAAATCACAATAATTCCACTTTAAATTGAAAGAGATAAATGTAAGAAAGTTAAAACTAGAGAGCAAATCAAATGATATGTTTCCCAAGAGAAAAGGAAGGAAATAAAAGATATGAGATAAAATGTCTAATCACAATGAAGCGATGAAGGAAAAATTTGATGACATTCCTGGAAAAAAAAAGAAAGAAAAAAAAAAACAGCATTGGTTATGAGCAATTTTGAAAATTAATCTTAAAAAATCCTGCAAGAATGTTTAGTTTGTTAAGTATTAAAACGAATTTATACAAGAACAGCTTAAAAAATAAGAAAAGAATTGACAAATTTTGGCTGAGGAGTGAACTTGAGAAGATCGAAGTAAGTTAGATAACTTTCGAAGGAGATGACACCTTGAGCGCTTGGAACATACACTGAAAAACATACACTTTAAATCATTAGTAAAATTATGTACAGCTACAGTAACAGCACATTAAATGAGTTATCAATCATGGGAGATATATACATTGTAATAGCAGATTTGTTACAAAGATATCACAATAAATATAACATTTCAGACGAAAAAGCTGAGGAAAACACAATTTTTGGACAAAGAGATGAAAACAAAATCACTGCGACAGATTTAGGTACAAAAGCTGCAACCTGAAAATATTAGCAAAGAAACGTAAGAGACTAGGGAAAATTGCCGTTATCAAAATGAATTTCGAATCGCACTCTATTTTGTGATTTTATAAAAGATTTGATCTGCATTGATAGATGGGCGAATTATTCTGTATTCTGGCAGTATTAAAACTTTTATCTAAAGGGGACAACAAATCTGCGACATGTACAATCTATCTTTTTGCAGTGTAAATCTTGGTGACAAGTGCTAAAATTTGCTCCTTATGATTATCCATGCAAAAGAGGCTAAATGAAGATATAAGGATAGAAAGTGATTTATCAGTCAGAATTAAGGCATTTAATCACAAGTTCCTCTTCAAAACTTTAGATAGAAAAGGATACACTCAACCAAAATTTTGGACATAAACTCCTGAGCCAGATATCAAAATCTACAATGATCTAAGATTATTGAAAAAATGAGAATAGCAGATGACGTCATTGCTTTCTTTCACTTAATGAATATAAATGAATTGCGATTACTGGTTCAAGAATTTTATTGTACCTTCCTGAAATTTTAAAGAGGAAACCTATCAAAAAGTGCTTTAATTCTGGCCTTTTCTACATGGGCACTAGCTTCAGATTTGTGTTAGTGCTATAATTTTAATATAATTTTTTGAGTTACTTGTCTTCATCAACCTGGGCGAACTTACGCTAAACTACAATGACAAACTCTAACTAAAATCAAGCATAATCAAATAAACCCTATTTTTCACTTCATCAAACAAGTTTCAACTGAGTTACAACCAGTTCATTAAGGTGACTGTGCTCAGTTCGCTGAACTATTTCGTCTAAGGTTCAGGGTAAGTTCGCCCATGTCGACAAAACACTATGAGTGTTTATATCGCTTACTGTTGTCCTCTTTAGATATGAGAAAAATTGTTCCTGGTATACCTTGGAAGTTGAGAGCAATGTTGGCATTACTCTCTCCACAAACGTTGCATGCATTGCAGCGGTAGTTCCCGCCATCCGCTTGTGTAGGGTTGGAAATTTCTAATTTTAAAAGATATGTGTCTTTGCCAGTGGCCTTTTTGGACATTTTAATTCTACCCGTGTCCAAAATGACTTTGCTTCCTTGAAACCAGGTAATCTCTGGCACTGGGTTTGCTTCCAAAATGCATTGCATCACTAAAACGTCCCCCTCTTGATGAATTGTTGGTTTTTTCGGAAACCGAGGGGGTTTTCCGTCTGGAATTCTGAAAAAATAATTAAAGCAAAGTTTATCAGTAATGGAGAATTTGCATGCAAATTTATTATTACTTCATCTAAGAGTGTTTGAAGATCTGATTTTGTAGTATTTGTTACTTACAATGGACCCTCTAGACAAGGTACGTATTTCAGCATTCTGATAAATGTTTCGTAACTAAAAATTTCACATAGAACACGATGCACTCAACAAAAATTACTTTAGCTTTGACTTTCTCGTAATTTAGACTTTTCGTAGCTCTGTAGCTGATTCGAATGTTTACGATTTTATCAGGAGTAACGCTCTGAACTATATGACTTTCTCGTAATTTAGACTTTTCATATGATGTCCACGATGTATATATTGTTAAGCTTATGACAACTAGTGTAAAGTAACTGTGATTTATTTATGTTCCGATGAATATGTACTCCGAAGATGGCGTAAGCCGAAAGGTGCCTCAGTAATTAATAAATATTCAATTCAACACCTTGGTTCTCATTCAAATTTACAAATTAAAATGGTGTTGTTCCGATCAAACCTTATTAAAATTAAATTCACTGGTAAATATACTTACTTTGGTTTCCCTGATTCGTCGTTGGCAAAGTTGAGATTGATTGTTGCTGTTCCTTCGCCATGTTTGTTTTTGGCGACGGCTTTGTATTCTCCACCGTCGATAATTTGAACATTAAGAATTTCTAACCTAGCTATGTGATATAATTTTTGATCTATTTCTATTGAGGTTTTATGTCTACTATCATCTTGAACTAATTTCCCTTTATGAAACCTGCGTTGAACAAACAAAAACATTGCCATCGATTAGAAAATTATGTGCGCGAGAGTAGCAAAGCATGGTTTTTAGATTCATTGAGGCTAATTGGATTGCATTTTGCAAAAAGGAACCACTAGCATTGCAATGTTGCTGAGATTGTGCAACTTCTTTTGTCTTGTAGGGAAAACCCGATTATCCATTAATAGTTTCTATTTTACTCGCTAAAAACTGTGAATTTAAGACAAACATTACCATCTAGATTTCATAGTTTTTCACGATTTCCGCAATTTTATTGCAAGGGATGAAGTTGCACAATCTTAGCATCATTGCAATGCTAGTGGTTCCTTTTTGCAAAATGCAATCCAATTGGATTACATTTTGCAATAAGGAACCACTATTTCTGGCTCTTCCATAAAAGCACATATCTGCATAGGGAAACCAATGGCATGTATGTTGTTTTTAAAATGGGCCAAAAATAGTGGTTCCTTTTTGCAGAATGTAATCCAATTAATGCAAGTCAATCAAGTCATGCTAGTGTCATGAAGTTCTAATGACCAACCAGCTGGTGTCAGGCATCTTAGTCAATTTTTTTTGTCAGAGTCATCCATTACCTACCGCCTTATTGAGGTAAATAATCTCATAAGGCTGCTGAATTATGATTTACTTTTTTGGGCTTACATAACAATCATCTAAAAATGAGTGAGAAAATTGATAGAATTTCAGGAACAACTTGCTGACAGTGGATGAATAGATACCTCGAATAGTTTACAGACTTTAAAAAAACTACATCTGATATTGTACATTTATTTTACTGAAATTTTTTTGGTGCTCCATTTGACTTGAAACGATTTCTTTTGTGGGCGAATAACATACTTGGCAAACATTTTTTCTCATTTAGAAAATTGAAATTGAAAATTTTTAGAGTGTATGCCAAATTTCATGTTAAAGTTTGACGATGCGACTTTCTTGGGCAATTCATGTGTAAAAGCTTTCAATATGATACTTCTCGATTTTCCAGGAATTTATTCTTCATTAGACAATTCTTTAAAGTGTGCACATGAATTTTGCTTGTATCCTAAAACCAGTGCCTCCAAAAGTCTAAACCCTCTTTTTTTAACTTTGGTATGAGAACAAAACTTACCATGATATGGAAGGTTTCGGATCTCCTATTAGTCTACATTCAATAACTATGTCAGTTCCATTGTCTGACTGTTTCGTGATTGGTCTTTCCGTGAAGGTAGGTTTGACTCCATCTTCAGGTACAGGAACTTCATCACCTGGTCAAAACATATTCTAAAACCTGTATCATGTCTACAAAAGACTAGATGACGATGTCAACTGGTCAGATCATGAGAAAAAAGTTAACTCGTATAGTAAAAGGCATGCAAAAAAAGCAAAAGTTGAAAGGCAGGATCATTCGCAACAGATGAGAGAAAACAGGCATTTTCAAAAGTCCAAGAAAAGCCTCAGGATGCACAAGAGAGGAAATTTAGGTCTTAGGTAAAATTCTATCAACTCAATGATTCGTGATGAATTTTTAAAAAAGGAAAAGAAAAATACGAGAATTCTGTTGAATGAATACATGGGCAGACTTTCAATGATTAAAAACGAAACATTGAAAATATTTCAATTGACATGCTTCGAAATGATATTTGTAGTAGCGTTCAATAACATTAAGGAATTAGATGTTTTCTCATTTCACAAAATATATTTTTTACTTAAGTTTTTTGGTCCTGACTTTTTTAATGGGAAAGCTTTTCTTGATTTTTCGAAAATGCTGGAAAACACTTTAAATACTCAAAAGAGAGTCTCTGTGTGAAATTAATAGAATGCTCCACATAAAAACCTCAGGGTTTTAAAGTTGGAAGAAATTTTAGTTTTGGACCTATTGCATCTAATTGCATGAATTTTATCAATTACTTGGCTTGAGCTAAAAAGAGGAAACTTTGAACGGAGAGCTAAATAAAACTATCAGTGAAGAGGCTTGAATTGAATAGGTCAAGTTAACTGCTGTTTTGAAAGTTTTATTTTTAATTTTAAAAGATTTGACGCAAGATACTGGCTGGATCCCACGTCCATTAAGAAATTAAAGAAAAACTTTAGAAGTCTAAGTCTTTTCAAGAAAAAACTTATCATTTTTGGGTATATTCTGCTATTTTCTGCAGTGCTGGCTGGGGAGGGGTAAAAAGATATTGACATTTTTTCATTAGATCCCGAATAAATTTGGAAGGAGAAGAATATCTTCATCTCTGACGAATTTTTTACTTTTGCTTTTTTAGGTTTTTTTAGCTCTTTAAGCTGCACAAGCTCTTTATCACAGAAAAGTGACTGAATCTTTCCCACATTCCTAGATTTTAGGAAATTCCATTAAAATACTGAGATTTTCACGGGAAACATGCATTCATATATAGCTCTTAAAGATACATATTTACAAAAACAGATCACTGAAGGATTAATTTTAAAATATTATTTTGGTTCTTGTGAAGGAAAGAGGAGATATAGAGTGGTTATTGAGATTAAATTAGGAAGTAAAAGGGAAACATATTTATAGAGAACTTCAGGACGAATTTTTATGGAGAACTGGAGAGGCAACAAAACTTACGACTCTTGAATTTGCGTCTAAACTTTTGACTACTTAGGAATAAAAAAGCAATAAAGTATAAATTCACTTTTAAAATAATTCGTCTGGAATTTTCATTTCAAAAATAATTCATACAAACTTAATGAAACCATTATTTTCATCTTCTTCTTCATTACTTTCATCAATATGAAAAATTTGAGGAAAAATTAATTTGCTACGGGGAAAATGGAAAAAGATGATGTAAGAGAGAGAGAGTAATAATAATTGCCAACAGATTAGAAAAAAGTCAATGGCAAATTCGTTGACTTTCACATCTATTCAAAGGGGCATTTCCAGTTTTCATGAAAAAATAAAACATATCGACGGTGTAAGTCCGCAATCACATAACTCGTTTGCGGCGTCTGAAAATCTCTGCCTCTATGTTATTTTTATAAAAGAGAACAAAGTGACATCATTCCTTGAAGTTTATGGAGCATTTTCTTCGCACAGAGGAGAAAAATTACAGCAGTATTGAAGGATTGTTGTTGAGTAGTTTTCGGTTTAAAAAATAAAGTATGACAGGAAGTCTGCGACGTCGCAAACCGAGTTATGTGATTGCCGACTTACACCGTGGATATTCAAAAGTGCTCAAATTGAGGTCATGAAATTCTCTAGCTACACTGAAAAAAGAAAGGGCAAAATAAAAAGGAATGATTTTGAAAAAAAAAAAAGATAAAGGGCTGAGAGAAAACTTTAAAACAAAGGGGTAAAGGGGGGGGGGAGTCCAAACAGAAGGATTGGTTTCAGGTCAAAATAGTACAAAGGTTGGAGTACACAATAAAATATTTTTCGAAGAATGCTTCCTAAAAGTACTCGAGAGGGTAGATTTTGCGGTGATCAGCTACTACTCAATTCCCCTTCAAATATGAGACAGAAAAAATCGGAAGGAAAAGGGAAGAAAAAGAAATCCAAAAGACCAAAAATTTCACCGGGAACCTGGATGGTAAAAAGGAATGGTAAATTAATGTTTTTTTTTCAAATTATTAAAAACTCTGGAGTAAAAAATACAGGGTACGAGATTCTGAAAAACAAAAAAACCGAGGATTAAAAAACCTAGAGAGGATCTATCAACAAAATGCTGAAAATAGGGTAAAAGTGGAAAAAAATTAGCAAAATAGTGTGTAGGAGCAAGTTTCAAAAAACAAAATATAATTTTATATTTTATACTAAAAATTAGGCTTCAGTTTTTAAAAGGAACACTAATCTGAAGGAGCAGAGGTTTTTAACCCCAAAGGAGAAATGTTGCCTCAGTCAGAAGATCTAACACGAACAGTATTGTAAAATAAAATGAAACTTGATTAAAACACTTTCAAAGAACCTGTCTCTAATAGCGGCTGTAGATTGACACAGCACAGATGAATTATACAATTATAGATTGAAAAAATATGATTGTACATATCAGAAATGAACCAATAATAAAGTAGAGAATATCTCTTCTAGTTTTATTAAGAAACCCACAAAAAGCGATTTGCAAAAGCTGTAACAAGCAAAGGCTTGACAGGCAAATCAGCAAATCACACAAAAACTTTAAAAATTAAAAGAAAATGCCACTAATTTTGAGAAAACACCCATTGGAAACATAAGATATTCTACCTCGCAAAAAACTTGACTAACTTTGACTACCTCCCTGTTGCACAAAACTTGAAAAAAAGAAGAAAAAAAAGAATCCTCTGATCTAAATAAATAAGCTCGATAATTTCAAAACCACTAAAACTAAATGTAGGTACTAATCTTTTCCTTTAATGAAACGAAAAAACCTGCAGATGTGAGACACATAAAAAGAAAAAAACAGAAAAAGGGGATAAGTGAAGAGTGTAATAGCTGAAAACCCAAAATCTTATGTTACAGCGAAGCTATTCTTTGAAATGATTAAATTCCATTTACTTTGGGATAACATTTGCAATGGATAGAATATTATTTATGATTTTTCGAATACACAAAATCTTAAATCTAAAATACTGTGAAGATCTGATGGTCTTTTTTCAAACTTGACGAGAAATAAATTAGACTCAATTAAAAGTGGGCTAGAATTTTCTGATGTTAAGTTTTATTTGTTCGCAAAAGGGATGTTGAAGACGGACACTGGTTGGGTAAAATGGATAGATATAGATGAAAGAAAAAGAGTAGAGTGAGGTAAGAAGATAGAAAACGGAGGATCAGGGTATAAGAGAGATTTAGAGAAAAACATGCAGACGAAAGTAAACAGCTTCATAAAATTACAGTGAGACCTCAATTTATCAGATTGCAATTTAACGGATGAATTTTCCGGTCCCTTCAAAGGCTTCAGGCTATCCAAATCAACAAATTATGCAATTTAACTGATAAACTCGTCAGTCTTGTAAAATCCGAAAAATTAAGGTCTTACTATGATCTTGCGCGGGGCATTCAAATGTTAGTAGAGCATACAAACTATAGATATTAAATAGGCATGTAGTTTAAATGTGCAGTAAAAAAAATGAACGAGAGAGATGTCAGAGCATACATTCATTACAGCACTTCCCCTCTTTAATTCTTCATGTAAAAATTAATGTAACAGCCAACCATTCATTAAAAAAGTTCTTCAGATCATTAGAGTTCAATACAAAACTGGGAAATTATCTTGTGAACTTGACAGAGGCCAACATGGGANGGGGGGGGGGGGGGGGGGCATGACGTTGTTTATCCATTTCACATAAGCGAAAGCTCATTGTAAAAAATTATGTCCCTCTTAATAGTTCTTGGTCAAGAATTTCTTTCGAAAATTTTTTTGAAGATAAAACATATTAAGATACAAACGTCAATTGGACTATATTTTGGAATAAGGAACTACGATTTTTGGCTCATCTGTATAATCACTTACATACATGGGGAAACTAAAGGGTACATACGCTGTCTCTAAACTGAGCCAGAAATTGTAGTTCCTAATTGCGAAATGTAGTCCAATTGGACAGATTTAACTAAAGTCAGTTGAGCTAGATCAGATATTGCCAAAATTTCTTGGAAGTTTTATTTTTAAAAAAGAGAACTTAGTAAAACTGAAACTCAAAATGTTGTGAGTATATCTTTCATGATCTCAGGTAAATTCACTGAGTTTATAGGCATTGATTGGTTCGGTTCTTCGTTAAAAAAATAAAACCTGACAGAAAACTAGGCAACATGAAATGTAGTTCAGCTAATTCTGATTAAATCTGATCGATTATAAGATGTGTTCCTGACAAAAATCATGAGAATCAAAGTATATAGCTAGCTGAGTCTTAGTGCTATTAAAGCTGTAATGCACAGTAAAAGCAAAATGAATATCAAACTGAGCAAAAGTCACATTGAAACCACCGTTGTCCAACAATAAATTACAAGGGTGGGCAAAGCACTACTGCCAAAGCAAGCCAACAAGAAATGAAGACGAGAATATGTTTGAGAACTGAGAACTTACTGTCAAAATTTAAACTAATTGTAGCATTACTTTCTCCTAATTCATTTTTGGCGGTCACTTTGTACTTCCCCGCGTCTTCTACCGTAACATTTTTTATTTCTAGAGTTGCAAAATACGAATGGCCATCTTTTTCTATTGTTAACTGAAAGTAAAAAAAAAATATAGGATAAAATTCAATAAAAAATGAGGGCTTCACTAAGCTAGCAAAAGCATGACTCCCTCAAAATGTGAGGAACTGGTTGCGAGAATTAGGGTATTTTAAGGTTGACTTTTCGTCAATAGGTTACGTCTCCAAGAAAAATCTAATGAGTGAGTTTTCCAGAATTCGCTCTATGGAGCACTGTAGCATCATGAAGAGTATTCCATAAAAATTTCAATGAAATGCATGTATTCACTTTTACTTAACCAGATCATAACAAATTCGTACATTTTTTTTATCAATGTAGGATTAATGATGCTCCACTAGAAAGTGCTCATAAAGGCAACTATACAGAAATATTTCACTTTACTTGAAGAAATCACCCGCAAGAAAAACTTGACTCCAGGGAGGGGGTCAATTCTCTCTTTAATGTTGTGGACAAAAAATTTCTGTCACAAACCATCGGTTCACTTTCCCTTCCTCCAGAGAAATTTAATACGAAGGTTGCTTGATCAATGATAAGTGGAAAACGAGCTTACTTTGTGTCTATTTGATTCTTTAACTGGAGTTCCACTATGTGACCACAAGACAGACGGCTGGGGGTCGGCTTGTATTCGACATTCAAATAATAATCGTTTGCCATCATCTTCTTGCCTAATTGCGGGTTTCTTCGAAAATGTAGGTGCGAGTCCATCTATTTGTCTGTATTAAACACGTATGTATGTATTAAACACGACTCAATTTAGTGATGGAAAAATGGAAAGACCATGTTATTGATAGGAGCAAGGGGGAATGTATTTAAACATGTTCATCGCAAAGAGGGAAAATGAGAGAAGCTCCTCTTTCTGTCTCTTCCATCCAATTGGATCGTAGAGATTATGAGGACAATGCCTCCTGAAAGATTCCTCTTCTTTTAGTGAGGCTGACTATGCAGTAGGGTGTGTAGCTTGACTACTATTCACATGATGTGTGAAAACTTCAAATTCCCATAGCATTAAATCAGAGCTGCAACAACCCAAGTAGCAAAATAGAATTTTTTTTTAGGAAAAAAATATTAAGAAAATGTCTAGAAAAAACAAGGAAAATGAGAGTTATCCAGAAAATAGAAAGAAAAAACATTGCTAGTCAAAAGTCTGACCAAAGAAAATAGATCTCTTTCATGAGTTTACTTTCTGTCAACTTCCCATTTGGAAAAAAGATAGAAAATTTATTGAAAGTAGAATTATTTTCTAGCCAATTTCTTAATGTTTTCTTTTAAGAAAATACAAGGAAAAAATGTATTTTCTTTCTATTTTCTTATGTCTATTTTCTAGATCTCCTTTATACCTATTTTCTTTCAAGAAAATTGTTCTATCTAGAAAGTAGACATTTTCTTAATGAGCCCCACCTAGAAAGTAGATGACAATGCTACTTGGGAAGAAGCCTCTCTCAGATAAGGGTTCCCTTCCTTTACTTACTCTTATTTTATATAATCAGCCAACACTTAAGAGGATAAGCTGGATGATACTGTGATCATAAATGCTACAAAATTGAGTGAGGCAATGGTCACTTTTTAAAAGTAACATCATTGATGGTCATATTCACTCGATTCCCATCACCGAATGATAATAATGGGCCTATTGCTAACTTTTGCTAGAGCAAAAATAAGAGTTGTTCCTAATAGATAATGTCTCAAAAATCACAATGAGGGCATTGGCAAACTCTGAAATGCACTCTTAATTTCACAATCTGCATAAGAAATTTGCGTTTTTTTAAGCTTCCCGCTTCAAAAAGGATACTACAACACAGGTGAACATTTTGATAGAGGAGTCGTTCCATTCAATCCCTGCTCAACATGGTCGACGCTTCCGCGCACAAGTTGAGGAGAGCACGAGGTCAATCAAGGTGCATATCTATCAACGCAAGAAAAATGTGAATGTAAACACGCCGAATGTTATTAGGTGGTTAGAATCATCGTCTCGTCACATGTGTTTTGGCGGATTGGCACCGGTTACGTTGAATATTGCGTAGTATCCTTGTGAGCAGGGGTTGGATGGAATGAATCCTCTGACGAAATTTTCACCTGTGCCATGATATCATTTTGGAGGCAGGAAGCTCGAAAAACACAAATTTCTCATGCAAATTGTGAAGTAAGGCGTTGGTTTCAGGCTTTGCAGATGCGCTCATCAAGTATTTGGGGGACATTTCCTGTGAGTAACAACTCTTATTATTGCTCTAGCAAATATATACAACAGGCCAAATAGAAATTGGGGCCAGATGACCGATAGATAAATATCTTCAAATTAGCTAACGATTTTAACTGCTCATCGATAAATGAGAATGCTATCAAGGCTTGATTGAAAAGGGGAGATGCACATTGGCCACAAATTAAAGAGTAACAGTGGCAGATTTCAAGAGTTATGACCTTTTTCCTTACTTTTCAAGCCTTCAAGGGTCATCACTTTCAGAACCCAGGAGGCGAGAAACTGTTTTCAGCCCAGGGTTCAAAGATCTGCCAATGAATACTGAGGGTGAAAATAATGATACAGATCTAGAATTATAATAAAAGATAATAAAATTTGAAAGAACTTACTTTTCTGAGGGCTCGTCGGCGGCTGAAAAAAAAAAAAGGAAAATTAAAATTACACAGGGCACAAAGCAAAGGCTGCAGTTATCTAAGAATCTAAAGCATCATACTTTAAAGAAATGCATTTTTTTTGCCAGGAGTTGAGCTGAACCATCTACAGCTCATTACATTTTTGAAAATTAACATTTTTTTTAAAATACACAGCCGTTTTTTAGGGTTGTGAGGTGTCTTACACTAGTAAAAAGAAGACATACCTACTTCTCTATTTTTGAAGGTTTACAGTTCGCCTATGACCCAAAACGCGAACATCTCCGAACTCACGCCAAAATCCAAGAGAGGACAACCAGACATGGTTACTTGGTAGTAAAAAACGAAGAAATTGTAAAGAATCTGAGTGCTGACACATGTTTTTCGTGCACTCCTGCACTTTGCTGCACTTCATGCCTTGCAATTGCATTGCATTTTAAATTGTAAACATAACCTTAAAATGCGAAAGTGGTTTTCTCTTTGATGGCGGGAAACATGGAGGAGGGGAGGCGATTTAAATTTTTCAGGTTAGCCAGCCCAAATATTGTGAAGTTAGAATTAACTAGGAATTAACAATATCTTTGGAATTAGCATTTCCTAAAATCTCTTTGTATGGAAATATTTGGGTAATCGAAAAAGTCTACAATTATTTTAATTAAAATTAACGATTATCATTTAATAACAAATTAATTTTTTCATAATTTGTCGGCTAAATAACAACTTTCTCATTATGTTGGCTTTTGCAAGGGTTGGAAAAACTGCCAAAAGCTAGGAGAATTTTTAAATTAACCCGCGAAATTACAAATAAATATTCTACAGGTGATGTTTCGCAAAGACCAACAATGAAGTTTTCTGATTACTTTACTTTCACTCGCAGATATTCAATACTTTCGGGGGGAATTTGCCTGTTTTCTGGCAAAGATTTATGTTCCCATTATAGTGATGCGGTTTTTACCAATGGCTGATTCCTCTACGAAAACTGTATTAGAGCTAGGCTACCTATTCCTGGTTTCTATATTAAAGATGTATCGGAGGAGTTAGGACAAAATGACGTTATCTGCAAAAATATAGGTGTTTCTATGAAGTTATAAGGTAGTAGATTCCTTCTTTTTAAAATATATTTTTCAACAGGTCATCATACCTTATAGGTATTTATTTTTTTTTTTATTTATTTATTTTTTTTTTGTGAAAAACGCTTGGGTATATGGTATATTGCATGGGCATGAAAAAGAAAATTGGGCCGTTTTGATATCATTTCCTTTTAAATGATGAATCCAAACGGTACTGCCATCATATTTTGGGTGCCTGGTTTTTTTTTTTTTTTTTTTTTTGGTAATTAAGTAGTGACATTTTTTGGATTGGGCCGAAATGTACAAAAATCATATTTTTGTTTTTTTTTCTATTTTTCAACAATTTCCCATCCTCTGGTGCAGAAAGCGTCTCGATAAAATTGAAAAAGTGAAAAGTACTCACGACTAAAGTTGAGATTGATGGATGCGGCAACCTCGCCCATTTTGTTCTTGGCCTTGACCTTGTAGAGACCTGCGTCTGTCTCGACAACGTCTTCCAGCTCGAGGACGACCACGAATTTGTTGGTGGCGATGGTCTGCGTCTTCATCACCGTCCTATGGTCCTCCTTGAGCTGGGTCTCGCCCCTGAACCAGGTGATGTCTGGTTTGGGGCTGGCCAGGAGCTTGCACTCGAACACGAGCCGGTTCCCGTCATCCTCCTGTCTCAGCTGCGGCTTCTGCGTGAAGCTCGGCGCGAACTCTTCTGCCACCCCCATCTCCCCGATGGTCGGAGGCAGAGCGCACCAGTCGGATTCGTCTTCTAGGCTCGATCGTCCGCTTTAGTCGACCTGCAAACAAACGCAAACCACAGTTCGTCAGTCACGGATGCCTCAGAAATAAAAATCTGACGGCCCATGTAGGTGTGGGTCGTAGAGTCGCACGGTGTGCGGATCGTGGAGCCGTGTGGATATGGGTCGTGAAACCATGTGGATATGGATCCTGGAGCCATGTGGATACGGATCGTGGAAGCATGCGGGCATGTATCTTAGAAACACGTGGGTATGGATTATGGATCGTGGAGCCACGTGGGTATGGATCGTGGAGCCATGTGGATATGGAGCGTGGAAGTATGAGGGGTATGGATTGTGGAGCCATGTGGATATGGATCGTGGAGCCACGTGGGTACGGATCGTGGAAGTATGTGGACATGTATCGTGGAACCGCGTGGGTGCGGATCGTGGAACCACCTGGGTATGAATCGTGGAGCCATGTGGGTATGGATCGTGGAGCCACGTGGATATGGATCGTGGAACCACGTGGGTATGGATCGTGGAAGCATGTGGGCATGTATCGTGGAAACACGTGGTTATGGATTGTGGAACCATGTGAGATTGTGAATATGTATCGTGAAATCATATCTTAAACTATGGTTGGTGAAGTCATCCAGCTGCTAAAAGCGACCATTATGTTGGAAAGTGAAACATATGGTACAACGTGTCGACGCCAACATAGTACCGAATTGGTCGGACTGGCGAGTAGTGGCCCACATGGTGCCAACGTGGAACAATGCTGAAACCACGTTGGTACCATGTTGGTGCCGTGTTGGTGTGAACATGCGGAACAATGTATCACTAACCAACAGGATCGCAACATGGCAACAGCATGATGTTTTTTTGGCAGGAATTTTGACATTGGTCGTTGAGCTGCTAACATATTACACAGTCGTGCTAAGGAAAAACGTCGTATGAGCCTTCAGGCGTTGCCAAATATCCATTGGTGAATCAATCATTCTCGGGAAAATTTGGATGTATTTTTCTTCCAATGTTTCGGGTAATTTTGCTCGCAATTTTATCTAAAGTTCTTGAAAATTTCTCGGAAAAATACTCATAACATTCCTCAAAAATAAGAATTTTAACGAAGGAAATTTGGCAACTTTCGAATGTTCATACGGCGTTTTTCCTTAGCACGGCAGTATAACCCGAAGCCAGCATATGCTTCTACCGCCTTTCAATCAGACCATTTTCCATGTGAGAATTCATCTGATCGGAGAGTAAAAATGTAAAATTGTAATAGAATAGGCACCGGCGAGATTCGAACTCACGATCTCCTGTTTACTAGACAGGCGCTTTAACCAACTAAGCCACGGCGCCGCACGATACGAGAGAAAACCACATTTTCTCATAGTGTGGCGTGTGGATCAGTTTCTATGCTCTATTTTCGCACGGATCCCGTGATGGTAGTCGCGGTGTATGCTAGATAACAAAACTTGCAAGCCATGCAACTTCATGACTTCGCATGGAAAGTTTAAAGTACAAAATTATTTTCGAGGAGTAAAATTAATCTTCACCTAGGAGTCGTCTAAAAAATGACGNCCCCCCCGCAAAATATATTTCAGCTACTTATGCCGATTCACAAATTGCTGAAATCCAATACGAAGGGATCCTCTCATTTTTTTTTCAGCGGCAGATCCCAATCGCAAGAATTATTACAGGTTGTCATCTGCTAAGGTGTAAAAAAACTACGAGGCTAGATTCGAATTCACGATCTCCTGTTCACTAGACAGACGCTTTAAACCAACTAATTGTAAGCCACGGCGCTAACGGTTAGACGATAGTGGATGCAGAAATTTTGATAATGAACATTTCATGGGGCTCTGAGAATCCCAGTTACGTTGAGCGAGCATTTTAAAAAAAAAGAAAGAGAAGAAAAAAATGCAGGATTTTACTCTCTATTTACAGGAAAGGAATGAACAATATAAAAAAATTTCAACTTTTTTTTCTTTTTTTCTTGGAGGATGACAAAAACCACGAATGAAAAAAAAATAAATAAAGAAAAAAAATCAAATTAATTAAGATGTACAATAAAAGATGCAGCGAAGAAAATGAAAAAATAAAAAATGAAGAGAATACTTACAATACAAAAAAAAAAGAAAAAAAAGGGAAAAATAATATTAAGTATAGCGATAAAACTGAAGAAAATTTTAAAAATGTAAAAAATAAAGGAAATAGTAATTTTTTTTTAAAAAAAAAGTAAAACAAAATCAATAGAAACCAAAATGATTTATAAAATTATTATTTAAAAATAAAATTAAATTCAAAATAAGTAAAACATGTAAAAACGGAAGATATGAAGAAGAGAAGTGTTTTACCGATGGAATATTAATTTATAAATCTTCACTTGAAAAAAAGGAAGGAGAAGACATTAAGTAAAAACGATCGAATTATCGGAGCGTTGGCAAAGTTAAGTGCCTTGGTTTCTCTATGAACCGTTTATGTATTCGATTATATTTATTTATTCCTAGTAAATGTGGTAATAATAATGTTGTTTTTTTAATTTTCTTTACACATAAATATCTCAGATACACTTCATCCGGAAATCTACACTGTATCGAGTGGAGCGCATCTATTTTATTTTAGTAGGTACGGTGAATTTGTTAAAAGAGGATTAAGACTCCTATTAATGGCACAGGAGAAGAAATAAATGTGAATACGAAATCTTAATGAACATGTCAAATAGATCTGTAGTCACGTAGAAACTGTTTCGAAATAAAACAGTAAAAAAAATTCGAATGAAAGCAAAAAGGCACCGGCGAGATTCGAACTCGCGATCTCCTGTTTACTAGACAGGCGCTTTAACCAACTAAGCCACGGCGCCGGTTGAGGAAGACGGCGGAAATTATAGCTGTTAAACGCTTGGCGGGTCACGCCTCCGCTATCTCTCTCGCACTAATGGACATCCTATCTGCCTCTCTCTCTTTGTTCAATCGTCTCCCCTCTCAGTTCATACTCTTCCACCGCTGCCAAGTGGACGCAGATTATTTAATTTAATTAAATGTAATTTTTAGCCTCGGTGGGTCGTGATTGATGCTTTAAATGCGAAAAAAGGAAAACCATGTAAATAGACTGATATTTGACATATGTCACAGACAGTTAGTTGCTGTAAAGATACTTATAGTCTGAGAATATTCTGTTTTTAATCTTCGACGAATACTTTCAGACACGGGCATTTGTGTTTTTCGCCAATCATAGTAGATTTCAATTTTTTGTTTTTTGGAATTGATTTCTACCAATATTTATTAGGAATACCGATTATCAATTATTGACAACCGATTTATTACTGACCCGTGCGGTTTCATAGTTAATTAATTTTTGTTTAGTCTACGTGTGTTTTATTTTTTATTTTTCCGGTTTTAATATTTTAACGTGTCTCGCAATTTCGAACGCGCACAATGTTTTAGTGCTAGTCAAATAATAATAATAATACCTAATAATAAAAAAAAAATTGTGGCCTGAAGAAGAAAATAATTTTTCTGAAATGTACATCGCTTAAGACAGGAATTACTCGAGAAATACCAGGACGAAAAGATAACTTACAGGTAATAAGACCCAAATCTGGTAAAATGAAAAACCCATATATTAATTTTTTTTTTTTTAAATTTATTACTATCATTAAATAGTTGGATAAAAAGCCAGAAACTTTAAAGAAGAAGAAGAAAATGAAGGAGGAGGAGGAGGAAAATAAGAAGAAGTTGAAGAAGGTAAAAGAGTTGAAGAGGCTCCTTTTACACGGAGCAAAACAGTATGCGGTAATTATAATCGTGTGAGGTGAGTGCGTGAATGCACTGCATCTGTTACATTTGTAGCGTTCAGCGATTTTGAAGGCGCATCATACACCTGACGGCGCTCTGCCGTTACCGCGTACTGCGGTAATTTTCAAGGTCATCCAGAGGAAGAGCAAAAAAGACCAGGGCCGCCGACCCCTTGGCGTCATAAAAGTAATTTTTTCACGGCGTTGCCAAATTTTCTCTCTTTATTGGTAGAAACTTGATACTTCAGTTTTGATCAGAAACTTGTTTCCTTCACTTTAAAATGAATGAACTAATAGGTAGGGTAAAACCTGAGTAACAAGTATCATAGTTTCTCATCAAAATTTCACCAAGGATTCGTGGACAATGTACAAATGATTAGAATTAGGAAATTCAACCCCCCCACTTCCAAAAACAGACCAAACTCGACGTAGTTTGTAGCTCAAATCGGCCACTGAAAAACTTACTGTACATATTGTTCGGAAAATTGATAAAGTTCGGTTTAACATAAAAATTTACTTTCTCCTCTGAAACACGATCCTTCCGAAACTGTTAAATATATTCAGCTTTCTAAAAAAATCATTACATCGCAACCATGCAGCACTGAAACTGGTTCGGTGCGCAGTTTGACACAAGAATACATTGGTCTGTCATCAAGCAAGAAGTCTGATTTTTTTAAAATAAATGCTGATCACACATACTTGTAAGTTTAATCTAGAGTATTTATAAGTGTACCTTTTTTCAAGGAGAATTTTTATGAGAAGGGAGGTTATGGTGAATTTACACCGGGAGTGAACAAACGTCAAAATATCGAACACATTTTACCAAATTACTGGTTTTTCTTTATCTTTGGCAAAATAAGGACCCATTACGTCTAGAAGCTTATTATCTCAGCTGCTCTTTTTCGAAAATATATTTTTAAACGATAAAATACATATATTTAGTGAGGGAAAGTGAAAGTATTGCAGAGAATATTTCCGAGATTCTTCAAAACCTCTAAAGACGACTGAGGAAAAATTCAACAGAAACTTGAAAAAAAAATCGATTAAACTCGCTTCGTAACGCTTTGCTGTACATCCCCACCCCCTGTAACGTCGCGTAACGCTGGAGGGGCGTTACATAATTTAGGGACGGTCCCTTTACGACTAGTTGAGTTCGAAACTACTCCTGACTCATTTTACGGTCCATCTGTAAGTAGGTATCTAGCTGGCGTTATAACGGCCAAGATGCAGTAGCACTACACCGTTGCCATTTCTTTGGGTA